ACCGGCTCTAAATTAATAAAGCGTTAACGTAGGAGTAACGGTTATAGATTTTAATAGCTAGATCGAATATTAGATCTTAAGTTAGGAAGCGACGGCTAGCCTTTAACTCTATTAGCTCCTTCTGCTCCTCGTTAATAGTAAATCCTACTTGCTCGAGCTATTATACGGGTTAGTACTACTCTTAGAATATTAAATTCCTAGCTCTTACTCTATCTACCCTTACGTCGATAATTCTTCTTCCTCTAATAGGACCTCTATCGATTAAAAGTAGGTTAAAGGCCGGTCTAGTAGTTATCCTCGCGGTCGTTAAGGTAGTAGGTGTTTATACGGGGGAGTAGGAGGAGGGAGGAGGATGTAGGTAGGTAGTAAAGGGGTAGTATAGTAGTAGGAGTAGTAGGTGTTAATGTTAGTATTTAGGTGTTAATAAGAGTCGCTAAAAGAGTAGCAGGTCTTTATCCTACTACTCTTTTAGAGATCTTACTTACCTATATAGAGAGTTATATAGCTGCCCGCGTAATGCTATTATACCTTTACTTTATCCTTACTATTATTACTCTTTAGTACCTCTCCTTTATATGCATTTAGATAAGAGTCGCTTAAAGAGTAGTAGGTATTTATCCTACTACAAAAGTAGCTAGTATAATAGTCCGCGAGTAGAGTAGATAATAGAATATATAATTTAATAAAAAGAGTAGAAACTTTCCTATTTAGGAAGGAACTATAATATTACTATAATATTATACTAAGCTCCTATTGCGAACTCGTAATAGCTAAAATCGAGATTATATAGAAGAAAGAAGAGTACTAATTCTCTATACCTTATCCCTTCCGACCCTAAGACTTGCTCTAAGACCTATAAGACTACTTATCCTTTCCTAAACGTAGACCCTTTAACTAATTATCCGTAGCTATACTCGTAATTATTCCGCGCTTAGGTCGCCGGCGTATATTCTCTAGTCTGCTATTATACGCCTTTAGCCTCTCCTAATAGGCTCTCTCGCTAGCTATCCTATCGCTATACTAGTAGGTACTCTTAGTTCCCCGCTAGATATAGTTGCTATAGGCTAAGTTTAAATATCTACGCTAGATTGTGTAGCGCTGTTCTCGTTAGCGTTAAACACCTTTATACGGGTAGGAAATATACTAGAAATAGCCCTAGGCCTTTAATTATATTACTATCGTAGTCCTTCCGCTTCTTATAATCTCCGTAATACTCCTCCTTAGTTAATATTGTTCTACTGCGATATTATTAGCTATTATATTTTAACAATTCTCTAATAGGATTATATAGACCGGCTCGCAACTAGAAAGGCGTCGACGTAGTTCGGACGGTCTCGGATGTTATCGATCCTATTAGTAAAGCTATTATAGATCTCGACGTGCTTAGTAGTAGGCTTAGCTATTATCTCCCTCTGCTCGCGGTTAAGGGAGAATCCTATTTTCTTAAGCTATTATACGGRTTAGCGCTACTCTTAAAGTGTTAAATTCCTAGCTTATACTCTTATAAAGTTCTACTTAAAATATCCGTATTCGCTATTATTATCCGGATCCTTARGGAAAGTTCTAGCCCTCTAGTATTTCGTAGTATCGATATAACYTAGCTATAGRTATAGYAACTTAGGCTTCTTCGCCTTCTTAGGCTTTTATACGGGTAGTATAGAGGAGGGAGGAGGATATAGGTAAGTAGTAAAGGGGTAGTATAGTAGTAGGAGTAGTAGGTGTTAATATTAGTATTTAGGTGTTAATAAGAGTCGCTAAAAGAGTAGTAGGTCTTTATCCTACTGCTCTTTTAGAGATCTTACTTACTTATATAAAGAGTTATATAGCTGCCCGCGTAATGCTATTATACCTTTACTTTATCCTTAYTATTATTACTTAGGTATCGTAGACTATTATTACTTAGGTATCGTGGACTTAAATAAAATTACTTTAAAGAAGGAAAGCGAGGACATTGTACGCGCACATTGAATTACGCTACTTGTTACTTATTGTACGGAATACACCTTTAATTACCGAGGTTCTAATACCCTATAATGCTGGCGTCGCACTATCGCCTAAAAGGATTGTTGCAGAGTTGTTCTTAAAAACGCGCCGTACACGGCTCTAGCGTCTAATGATCACCCCTGTTTGGTCGTCGGATCCCGGTACGATGCAGATTGAGATTCTGCTGCAAACTGTCGCGAGAAGCCTATTCTGGACCCGTTATTTCAAATATGGCCTATTTCTGCACACCACGAATGATGAGACCAGGGACTCTCAACAAGCCTCCCTCGTCTTGACAGTGTGGGAACAGAAATGAAGCCTCACGATGCGGTGTGACAACAATGCCTTTGCCAAGCGGTGTGAATTGCGTGGCCGGCCAACAACATCACGATCCTTCGACGTCATGTTCTGCAATGGAGAGTCGCAAGTCTCCTCGGAGTCTCGGCCGTGCACGGTTGAGAGCAACGCGCGGTACCTTTGAGGCGCGAATGGCGAAACTCTGTCTGAGAGTGTAGCAGACCTTCGTCGGTGATGAGCAAACAGTAAACTCTTCCTCTGGACCTCCCTTTTCGGTTCTCGTCGACCACGGCATCTCAGTCTTAGATCCGCGTCGACAGGATGCTTCCCGGCAGTCTACTGCTACTCTGCCTCGCTGCCATTGGCGCGAGGGCGCAGAATGATGAAGGCAGCAGTTCCAGCGACAGCGCGACATCCAGCAGCAGCAGCGGCTCCAACACTCGCTCCAGCACTCGTTCCAGCTCCAGTTCCAGCGTCGAACCTGTTTTGTTCACCTTCACCAATGGCGGCAGCACCTTGACGGGAACCCAGATCCCAACTGCTATCCCTACTGGATCAGATGTCACATACTTGACGGGCAGTTCACAAAGCACGCGCGAGACTTCGACGCGGACATCCAACGACACCATGACGACTTCTTCCAATTCACAAATCACCGCCTCTTCGAAAGCCGTTTCTGTCACGCAGATTATTGGAGGTGCAGGTTCAAATTCGACCATGACCTCGAAGACTTCATCAGCAGCTGCGCCTACGAATACTGTACCATGTAACGGATTTCCGGAGTTTTGCGAGAGGAAATACAGCAACATCTCAATGGTGGTGGCTCACAACGCCGCTTTCGTTCAGCCTGCAAATGCAGCTAGTAACCAGTTGCTTGGGGTCAAAGATCAGTTGGCCGATGGTGTTCGCATGAGTATGTCTTCGTAGCGAGAAAGACGGTCGGACTTTGCTAATCGAGACACAGTCCAAGGAGAAGTCCATTGGGATGAAGCAAATCAAACTCTATACAACTGCCACAGCAACTGCGACTTACTCAACACAGGTCCCTACCAAGACACTCTCACAACCATCCGAAAGTTCCTCGACGACAACCCCTACGACGTAGTCTCCATCCTCATCGTAAACTCAGTCTACACGAAAGTAGAAAACTTCGTCCCAGCAATCACAAACGCCGGTCTCCTACCCTACGTCTACGAACCGCAATACGTCCCCCAACACCGCGATCAATGGCCCACMCTAGGCGAAATGATCCTCCGCAACCAACGGGCTGTAATCTTCATGGACTACGAAGCTAATCAAGAATCCGTACCCTATATCCTCGATGAGTTCTCACATATTTGGGAGACTCCCTTCTCTCCTGTCGATGCTTCATTCCCGTGCACACAACAACGTCCTCCGGATCTCGACCCCAAACGTGCGCGAGACGAGTACATGTACATGGCGAACCACAATCTCAACACGGCCATTGATCTTTCTTCTCTGGGGATTGATACTGGAGGATTATTGGTTCCAAACACGCCCAAGTTGAATATCACGAATGCAAAGGGGAATGAGACGGGGATGTTGGGTGCCATGTCTTATAATTGTGCCGGTAAGCTTTCCTCTCATCTCTAGGTATCCCTATAAGTTTTGTGGAAAGAACGGCACTGACAAAACTGTGTGATATAGCGGAGTGGGGTCATCCACCGAATTTCCTGCTGGTGGATTACTATAATGTTGGACCCAGTGGTGATAACTCCCCCGATGTGTTTGATGTCGCAGCGAAGGATAATGGGGTTGTGTATTCGATTGAATGCTGTGGAATGGGTGGACAAAAGTCCGCTGCGCCAGTTATGAGGATGAGTTTCGCTGCGCTGGTGGTTGCGGTGGGTGTCTTTGTTGTGGTTGTGTAGAGTGCTTCAATGTAGCGTGGAGTTTGATGGATAGATAGATCTCTGATTAGCGATTTGCTTGGATGTGCTGGTGCATCTAATTGGAGGAATTGCGTAGGACTCGTCGGAGACGATAAAATGAATGACCGTTGCTCGAACATACTGAGTGCTGTCTCCGTCTCGACCGCTGGCGTCAGTCAAATTTGACCCCATTCAATTGTGTCTACATTGTTCCCTATGTTAACGTTGGACACAACCCTAAAACTGCATATTCCTCTCTAAAACCAACCCAGAATTTTCTTTGTACATATATAAATAAGACCTAACCTTCTAAACTCCATATTGCGATAGACGTGAAAAGAATGTACTACCCAAACCCTAACCCTAGACCACGGAGGAGTGCATGAGAAGGAGGCAGGCTGAGTGAGCTCGATGAAAGGTCACTTCAAATCACATGCGTGTACGAAACAATGGATGAAAGGACGTCGAAAAAATGTAAAGCGAGCGAGTGATCGTTAATCATTCATAAGTATACGTAAACGCAAGAACTTGAGAACATGTACATAAGAACACGCCCTCGAACCCCTCGCTTTCCCGCTTTCTTTCATCTAATAATACAATTTGCGTTCAGACGACCAGCGTCTTCGGAGTTAAGACCAGACCAACGCGTCGCCATGCTATTACGATTAATGCATCCCATGTTTCCCAAACACCATGCCCAGCGCCAAGCGGATTTCAATGCTCAATCTGTCGATCTGTGGAATTCTTCCATTCGTCGTTTACCATCTTTCGGCATCAGCCCTCAACCTCGCAATAGCTGTACGAATATGTTAGCTTCCTCGGGACAGTTACTCATGGATAGTACATACCATCTCTGAAGCCAGCTTCATAAGMAGACGACTCCATGTTTTTGGACTGGTTGCGTGGATGATTTGACCCAGCTTCTGAAGGTGCTCTGCTGCTACCCGCAGTGTCTGGGTAGTAGCCTGGCCCTCTCTGATCGGTCGCTCGTCTCCAGCTCACTGGTCGATTGTTTGAGCGGCCGTCCAGGGATGGTGGTCCAGGGATATTGTTATACTGTTGACCAGAGTTCCAGCCGGTTTGCTCAGAGGTGACGCTGTATGGAGGTGTGACGGGTCGAGAGTAGCCGGAGGGCACGTCTTGACCAACATTCTCAGTTGTTGCGCGTCTACCCCAGCTAACGGGCCTTGAGGAGAAACCAGGGTCGTGGTTTTGGTGGGGAGGTTGTTGACGATATGGCTGAGACTGCATGGGCTGCAAGACAGAGTTATTCGAGTAGCCAGTCCCGGGACGGGAATGGTCGTGGCTCATATCTGGCATGCGGTGGTCGTGTGCCAAAGGTGGCAATGCTTTTGAGCTTGAGTATGCCTGCATGGCCTCCATTGAGGGTCTTGGGTGGGCATGTCGTGCAGCGGCGGCGGCAGCACAGTTGGGGCAAGCGTAATCGGGCACGCTGGAGAGATTCACTGAGCTTTCCTTGTGCATGACGACGCCCGAATCCTGACTTCCTGAACTGGCATCGGGTCCATGGGGACGTCGTGAGGCTTGTCTGCTGGAGCTCATGCCTCGGCCAGCGTGTTGAGATGCGTGGGCACTTCGCCCACGGGCACCGTGTTGTGATGTGCTGCGCTCTCCATAACCGTCAAGGCCATTGGATGGAACAGCGTTAAATCTTTTTTTGATGTCTGATAATAAACCCATTGCAAGATGAAGTGAAATAAACAAAGGAGATGAGGAATCAAGGAACCAGAGCAAGATACATTGAAAGCTTTTGTGCGTATATCGTGCGAACTCTACCCATTCGACGGTACGTCATGCTATATGTGATGTTCAGTAGCAATGCCTAACACGGCCTGGAGATGCCGGGAAGACCTTGTCGCACCTTTGCTTCAGGCCGTCACCCTATAACACGCGAGGCCTAATGCCGGGGCTGGACTCTCAAGAACGGTGGGCAGTTGAACCTTTTCTGGAGTCGGTTCGACAGTGGATGCAGGACATGACTCGCTCGCGCAGTCTTTCAACCCAATCGACCGTGAACGATGACATAGCTGTGGGCATGAGCACCGCTCATAGTGGCCACTATAGCACAATCCCTGCAAGGTGGCATTGTTCAAAAATGCTGGTGGCGCGAGAGTTTTGCCTGTGAATCGGGAGTGATGGAGTYAAGCAGACTTCGATGCGAGCAGATTTGAAGGAGAGGAAGCTGCGAACGATGGCGATGACGGTGGTTGGAATGCCAAGGCAGAGTTCGGGCGCGTCGCGTCCTCAGTGTCCGACAACTCAACCTCTCCAAACATCCATGCATGCATGAACCGTCCTGCTAGGCTGCGAGTGTTGTTACCGTCGTTACGGCCCCGCCAACGAAGCTTCTCGATGATGCCGCCGGAAGGTCTCAAGCGCTCGAGCGAGCGTGAAATATCACCTCCTCCGGCGAAGCGAAAGGCCGCTGCCACCACCACTCAAAAAGCAGTTGCAAACTTCTTCAAGCCAGCCTCTTCCAAGGTTCCCGACAAGATCCATTTTCAGACTTTCCAGCGCAGTCTTGTCGTTGGACGCTGTGAAGGCGCAACCACTATACCTCGTCCGAAGCCTACCAAGATTGCTGCTTTTGACCTYGATGACACGATTATCAAGACCAAGTCTGCGAAGAAGTTTTCGCTTGGACCTGATGACTGGCAATGGTGGCACGCATGTGTTCCTGCTAAGCTTAAACAACTCCATGAGGATGGATATGCAGTCGTTTTCGTCAGCAACCAGAATGCCATTAGTCTGACTCCAGATTCAAAGACTGGCGGGGACATGAAGGCATACATGAACTTCAAGGCAAAAGTGACCGCAGTGTTCAAAAACCTGGACTTGCCAATCACGCTCTATGCAGCTACAGAAAAAGATCTCAACCGCAAACCAAGAACCGGGATGTGGGATCAGGTGCTCAAAGATTATGGGCTCGAGGTGCTTCGTGACAGCAGCTTTTTCGTTGGGGATGCAGCTGGTCGGACAGGAGATAAAAGTGCAAACGTGCGCAAGGATCACTCATGCTCAGACCGGGATTTTGCTGCAAATGTGGGTATTGCATTTCATACACCAGAGGAGTTCTTTCTTGACGAGGAAGTCAAGCCGTTCACCAGACCCTTTTGTCCATCTGCGTACCTCGCAGGTATAGAGGAGTCGCAGACAGACCCTGTTGTGTTTCGCAAGGCAAATGAACTGGACGTTGTATTACTATGTGGCAGCCCCGGTGCAGGTACGACAATGTCGTGAAGATTGACAGTCCGCATACAATTGACATCAGGCAGGTAAATCGACGTTCTACTGGCAGCATATGAAGTCACTCGGTTATGGTCGAGTGAACCAAGACCTGCTGAAGACGAGAGAGAAGTGTTTGAAGATGGCGACGCAGCTTTTGCAAGAGAAGCAGTCGGTAGCGGTCGACAATACAAACGCAGACATTGAGACTCGATCGGCATGGATCACACTGGCTGCCAAACTCGGAGTGCCATGTCGGTTGGTGCATTTCACGGCTCCGGCAAAACTATGCGAGCACAACGCTACTGTGCGAGCACTGTCCAGTGAGAAACAGGTGAGTGCTATGCCACCGCACCCGCACGTGTCATGTCATTAATCCTTTGCAAGATGAACCCGGAAGACCGAATGCTATTACCAAAAATGGCGTTCAATTCTTTCACAAGCAGATATCGGGAGCCCAAACTCGAAGAGGGCTTTCAAGACATTACCGAGGTCGCGTTCGTGTTCGAAGGCAACGAAGACCAAAAGGCGCAGTGGGAAAAATACTGGATCAATTGATGCAAGCGCCCTGCTTCCCAACCGCATAGACGGCTACTCTTGTCAGCATAACCTCCGAGATCTCAACGGAGTGGGCTCTGAACCGGAGAGGATCGGGTCTCCTCTCACGAACGTTCTCGGAGCCCACTCGATGATGTATTTTCAGGTCTGGTCGCACTTTGCGGTGGATGGGTGACTACGACTCCGCATCAGTGCTGCCATGTGTGATGTGTCATTATTGCAGCTGCTTGCGTATCGGACGTCCTTCGGTGGTACAGCGCCGGGTGGGGAACGGGTGACGAACATAAACCTGGCCAGTCACGGAATGGAGCCATCAAACAGTCCTGATCTCGACCCAGAGCTACAATGTTGTATTCAGTATTGTTCTTTGGAGCATCAGCGCATGAAAGTGTCTTGTGCAGCCCTTCGGTCTCTGTCATGTGATTTCCCGAAAATCCCGGGCAAACATCGCCGATGGACATTGACTTTACCGAAGACCTGGATATGCTTGTTTGTATGGGATGCTGCCACCTGCCGTCGTTCGGCCACGGCTAATGAGGCACTCCACCGCCATCCGCAAGAGCTGTTTGCATCTCAGCCTCACCATTTGCTAATTTTTCATGGTCATCGCTATCGCGACAGCTGTTATCCACATAATTTACAAACGAGTGCAACAGGGAGGCTTTTGTCACCAATGGGTATTCCAGAGCCCCACCGCCGATGCCGCCTTGCTTCGCAATGCACGTCGGCTAATTGTCGTGGGAGGCCGCGAGGCACTCCGGAATCTGTTTCCTGGACCGGGTCTGGAAAGCCGCGGACCAGGTCATTCATCATACTACAGTAGTCGCCCATTGCACGTCAGATTCCGAGCACACGAGCGCCGAATCAACTTCATTCTGCAGGCTTTGATGTGCGTGAAGAAACGCTGTGGCTTGGGATTCGTCCCGATAAACTGGAGCCGCCCGGCTCTTGTGCACTAGTCACACAGCCTTGGTGATTCGTGAAAAGCTGCGCTGCTGCCCAACAAGAGCACAAATAGCTCGGCGTACATCTACGCGAGCGATGAAACCAAGGAACGTACATTATACCATAACTAACAACGAAAAGCATATGTGATTGGCGGTACTCACCGTTGGTTCATGGTTGATGTGTCGAAAAAAATGGACGTCAGATCGATGCAAGCAGATCGCCGTTGAAACCGCCACGTGCCCTGGTCATATGTCGATAAGTTTCGTGTGCGCCACAGTTGACGGTGGTTTGTCTTTGCAGCATCTCGGATGGTGCGCTCGTCTGCATCAGGCCAATATGCATAACGATCACCAGCAAATCGTTGATGCGTGAGGGACGAGTTCACAACGATGAGTATTGAAGTAGAACACGGTGGGTGTCATCCCCACCACAGGTCGCGTGCTCAGAGCAGTTAGATTTCGGTACATAGTTGGAGCACTGCATGGGCTTTTCCCCGACCAGGCTATCGATGGATGGTGGTACCGCCCGATTCGCTGTCTCGGCTGAGAACAATGGTCTCTTACCTGTCTTGTGGACAATGCAGAGGAGACAACAGATCGGCAGCAAGCTGTGATGTTCGAGATGCGGCCATCATCACCGCGCCGCATTCGGTTGCGGAACTTGCTTCTCATCGTCTGCAAGTGGTCAGCTCATCAATAATAATAACAATAATACCTGTTGATGGATCCCTTGGATGCAGAAAAGCCTTTCGCGGGTGGGGCCCCGCCGTCACGCTACTAGAATCCCAGCCGGCGCCAGCTAAGTTCTTCCAGGCACAAGGCACATCAGTGGCTTCCTCCTCCGGCAACCTTCTCACGACTTCTGCGCCGCCCGTCTTTACTTCTTTCGTCGGTCACAAACACCTCTGCCATCACTGCACCATCTTCATCCATTGCCACCCCTCCCCCATCGCGATCCACAGCGTATTTGCACCATTGCCCAGCTGGCCACCTGACAAATACGCGACGCGAGAGAGACTGGAAACGTCGAGCAAGCCAGTCGTGCCAGCACATCATACCCTCGCATCAGACGCGCTCTGTGGTACCCAACACCGATCGACCATCCGCCACGCACCCCGCGCCAGAGCTCATGCATCGATAACGTCCACCTTGCTCTCTGATGATGCCGCGTGATTGCTACCGATAGCAGCTGGAGAAGTGCCTCGAAGAACATGAGTCGTATGCGTTCACTTTCTCCTCCCACGCGAAGCGCTCCTACACAGCAAAACGAAGATATGCCCTCCGCAGGCTCGCCATACTATGTGTCGCTGTCACACTCCCATTCGCGCGACTCATCGACGGAATCAAACGCCTCCTCACCAGTCACGCCCACATTCTCTGCCCGAGGACATGGCCGCTTCCCGAGCTCGAACTCATCGCTAGTAACCAGCCCCGACTCCCCAGGGGCCGCACCAAAGTCGACGCTGGATGATCTGGTGGAAGAGCCTGCCGAGCGAGACGATCGCGGCTCCTCAGACGATTTAGACGAGCCACTTTGCATATGTGATACACCACTCTGCGCGCATCGGCAGAGTACAGCTTCGCAGTCTTCGATTATTCCACTGCCCACGCCGGAATGGTCACCCGGAGATGACTATTTCAGTGAAGGCGATGGCCAGCTGCCCGGTGAACCTGAGACGAAACGACGTCGATCGGGAGAGTTCACATTCACGGACAGCTTCGCCGCTCGGCTCAGCCGCCGGTTTCCCTCCTTCAGGAAACGATTTACAAGCCATGCGCCCACTTCGACACTGTCTACTCCCAGCCTACGCAGTGCACCACATTCCCGCTCTGCGTCACTGAAGGTCAAGTCGACACGCTCGCTTGTGACCTCTGGCGTTTATGACAGCCGCACCATAAAGACTCCTGCATCCTCGCCCGTATCCCAACAAGCCCATGATCGCTCCGTCAGTCCACCAAGCGTGCGAGCGTCTTCGCGAGCAACGGTTCAGCCAAGGGAAATTTCCCTCGTGTCGCCGGACGAGGATCCCATCGATCGTCAGGAACTCTCTTCGACGCCTCTTCTCCCGCCAACAATGACCAATTACTTTAGCGATTCTTCAGAGGCGGTGCAGTCACCATTGCAGTCACCCACTGTTGCCGCTCCAAGTGTTGCCGCATCAATAGTCAATACACCAACAAGTACGCCAATCATCAACGGGTTCCCGACTCCACCTTTGTCTGCTAGAGCTTCCGCGGCGTCCTTGAATAAGTCCCGATCAAGCCATGTACTGCAGCCGTCATCCGAGATTCCTGCTCTGGTGATTGCTGAGGAGAGCGACCCTTGGGCAATCAAGTTGGGTCATGCAAACTTTCACATCAGTCCTGAGCCGTACCTCCCCGATATATGCGATGCACAAAGTTGCAGTCGTCTGCGCGATGACTGGGAAGCTGCGCGCGTGCAGTATATGCGACAAGCGGCCAGGACCAGTGAGCACTTCGGAGTGACGTCTGATATCTACAGATTCACGGAGGAAAAGTGGGCTGAAATTGATGCTGAATGGCGTTCCAATCATGAAAAGGCATGTGCCGAAGCACAAGCAAATGGAGACATCATGCCGTTCCAGCCTTTGGCGAAGACACAGCCCGTGTCAAAACTGCCTTCCCTTCAGGACCCACAGCGACCCTCGAAATTTCCCGCCGTGAGCGAGATTGTTGGACCTATGGTTTCTTACGCAAAAATAAATCACGAGCGACCGCCATCGAAGAAGCCATCTTTTTTGAAGATCTTCACCAACTTTGGCTCGCGGAAATGAACCTGGGTTCACGTGGCGTGGTTGTTTCCATTCTTCCAACACAATTACCACATCACGCGAAATACGATAACGAATCTCACGAAACACGGAATTTACAAAAGTTCAGGCCTTGCAGTATGAGTTCTGCAGTATGGCGAATGGAAGACCGGGAAACAAAGAGTTGTATGAACTAGTGGTGGAGAACTTCCTGTCTTCCTGGACGGCGTCCAATTCACGAGCGACGATATGCTGATCGAGTGTTGTGTACGCCGCATCTGTATCACTATCGGTAACTCGGTATGTGTTTAGTATTAACGCCCCGTCTGTCGGACGCCGGGTCATTAGCGATCCTGTATCTACCACACGAATTTAAGAAAGTCAAACTTAGCCGCCAACTCCTCTCCCTTTGGGGTTTCGCACGGTATACAATGAACGTCATTCTGGCTCGTCATCTGTCACGCTATTGATGGGTAGCACGCGGATTCTCAAGTCTTTGCGCAATGGCAAGGGAACGACGACAGGGATTAACAGGAATGACGCCGAGTATGACGATTTTTCAGACGATTTTCAGGAACACAGGCCAGTTCCTCTCGAGACTTCCACGCCGACATCCGCAAATTTTTGGATGAAGGTGGTCCTGCGTCGTCAGATGGTGGATCAGGAGAGGATACGCCGATATACCATTGGGTGCTTTGCGAATATGCCGGCATCAAATTTTGACGAGCATGTGTTTTGGCGGATAGTTGGCATTTCGTCGTCAACATTGACGGTGATGATGCTGCGTGTGGAGTTTGGCATTGGGCAAGTATGCCGTGAAGAACGGCAAAAGGATATAAGTATAGGAATGTCTGTGAGATGAGCAGGACATTTCACTATCAAAGCCTCTCTCACATTTCCACATATATCCCAACACATATCCTCTTTTCATCTCCAATATATCCAGACTCACTCATCACATCAGTCATCATGGGTCTCATCGCAAAGATTGAAGAGAAGTGAGCTCCTTCTCCAACGACATGCTATGAGAACAGGCATACTAATCTACCTCTCAGGCTCACTTCTAACAAGTCCAGCGAGACGAACAACCAAGAAGTGCCAGCTCACAACGGAGACTCTGCGCATCCTAGCCATACCTCAGACAACCACACTCACAACGTCACTTCCACTGGCACCGCAAATGCATCTTCCGTTGGAGGTCTGAGCGGTTCAGGATCCCACCTGACAAACCACACAAGCGATCCATCCGATCTCTCAAAAATTCATCCTGCCAGACGAAATGAAAACAACACCCAAGTCAATGACTTTGGCGCCCCCCAAAATGGTGCTTCTACTGGACACCATGGTCTTACCGGGTCTCAGACCTCGCCTCTCTCTTCAGGTGTAGGCAACATGCACAATGGCTCCGGAACTGCCGCACATATTCCTGGCAGCGGACATATTCCCGGCAGTGCATCTGGAATGAATGGCCACGCACAACATACTGGCATTCCTGGAATCAGCACTCACGGGTCTCACAATCCCGCAACATCTGGCCACACACCATCCACTGGCATTCCTGGAACCAGTACCCATGGCTCTCACAATCCCGCAACGTCCTTTGGATCATCTGGCATTGATGGTGTGAACCACTCGCAGCTCGGTTCTGGAGCGGGCAACACGCATCACATCCCTGGATCTGACATCGGCTCTCATCATGCGAGCAACTCGCATATCTTGGCTGGTAACAGCGCTTCGCACGGCATCACTGGTAGCAACAGCAACACTATGCCTCACGGCTCATCCGGTCTGGTTGGCAGTCACGATGCCATTCATTCTGGCACCTCTCACGGGCTCACCGGCGGTAAGACATCACACGTCGGTGGAAACGATGGCATGGATTCCGGCAACTCGCATGGTCTTGTGGACGGCACCAACTCGCATAACCTAGCTAGCGGCAACTCTTCACACGGAGTGGTCGGCGGCAGCAACAACGTCCATTTTCATGGATTAGGAGATAGCAGACATAACAGTGTCGTAGAGCCCAACACGCATCATGCGAGCACTCAGGAGTCTGGCGTGCATGCTCACAACACACCTCTCCACAATGACACGGTTAACGAACACGGTCACAAGTCTCACAAGAGTGGAGGGCTGAACCCGAACAAGGAGAACTACGAGGCCATCCCTGAGGCTGGCGGCCTCAAAGTTGGCGCGGGCCCGTTCGAACACGATAGATCCTACGACCCTACCGCCACAACGCACATTGCTACAGAGCACTCGGCGACTCAATCTCATGCTCAGGTTCCTCACACTACTGGCCGGCTTGGTGGTTCCCATGCACAGCCATTGGCTTCTGGCCATTCACACGGTCACAGCAACACCGCTACAGACCACTCCACCGTTCCTACTCACGGCCAGACCACTCACTCCACTGGTCAGCTCGGTGGTATGAACACACAGCCACACAGCGGGCACGGTATTCATCAGAGCAACCACACTGGCGGCTTGCCAGTCAATCAGCCACATCACAGCTCCACTACTGGAACGCATATGACAGAGAGCAGCCACAATGGAGGTATCCTCAGCGGCCAGAACACCCAGAACGTTCCAGGTACCACCGGAAGCCACGGAGTGTCAACAGGGTACAATCAGTCAATGGCCCAGCATCAAGTCGATCAGATGATGAGGTAAATTCGCGATTGTCGCGATGCGAATGCCAGCGATTCTGAGTACTGCTGCTGCCAATGACTCCACATGTCCCAGCCAGCCTGGATTTCGACATGTCTCCATGACATGGAGTGGATGTAAGATGATGGATGTGGACAGTGGGTCAGCTTAAGACGGTAGATTTCAGGTTTAGGAACATGACAATGACGACTTGGCGAACATACGTAGCGAACGTTCCAGTTGTACCAAAGAAGAGTCCCTGCTTGGGGAAACTGTTTCAAGATGCCGGTCCAGCAAGCTTATCTCACACATGACGATGATGCGTCTGCCATGCAGGTTTTTCGGACCGTCGATCTTCGAGGCGCTTTTCGACCATCATCCGGTACATCTGGCCTGTGGTATCRTTTGCATATAATCTCACGATTTCGAAGTCTTTTGTGATCTTCTCTTCATCATTCACGCATGTCATGTTTCTGGATCAATTTCGACGATTCGAGACCCAGGGACATTTCGTGGTTATTCGAGACGATGAGCTTGGGCTGCATGTTTTATGCCTAGGCTTTCGTACGCGACCGACAGAGGTGTGGACACAAGTCATGCCACAGCTGGTCGGAATCCCGATCGACACCCAATCTACTGTTCTGGAAGTGTGATGTTGCAAGCTAATGAGCAAGGTAATGCCGGAAGATTGTCTTGCGGCGTATCTACATGTTGTAGAGCGGCGCCGCGAGCAGCTCCAGTCGCCTCTTTTTCTCAGTCATTCCTCTAGCCCATTTCCTGCTCCATAAACAACCACGCCATTCAAGCGTTCACCGTTTCGGGCTCATTCTACATTTTCGAACGCGCAATCGCTCTCCCGAGCGGTTAATACCGAAAATGGGCTTCAAGGACATGCTCAGTCGCAAGCTGTCGAGATCTGGTTCGATGGCTGAAAATTGCCTGCCGACTAAATCAGAAGGTAGCGCTACACCGAATGGTGCTCCAGTCTCAAACAACAATGCCAAACAGAATGGTGCTGGAGGTCGTAATACGCCCTCAGCTACGAAACAGCAAGGTCAGAGTCAACATAAGCATGCCAAATCGGAACCATTCAAAGGAAGTTCGGGGGTCCCTCATTACGCATCGCCCGTGAACCGGAGCGGGTCTGCAGCTGCGAATCGCAATAACAATAACAACCGCAATAGCAACAACAACAACAACAACACCAACACCAGGCCAGCGGGAAACCGAACGCAGACTGGTCAGGGTAATGGCCTTCAGAAACAGGTATCCCCAGTGAACAACAAAGGCAATGGTCCCAAGAGACAGACCTCTCAAACGCAAAACAAGTCCAATAGTCCTAAGAAACAGAACTCTCAGGCGCAGAACAAAACCAATGGCGCTCAGAAACAGGCATCTCCAGCGCAGAACAAAACAAACGGCAACCAGACACAAACGCAGACATCCCCAGCTCGAAACAAAACCAGCAACATTGTGCCGCCCACCTCACGCCTCGTTGACAATCCACCCGAAACTCGCAAGAGCTCGCTGAAAAGCACAAACYCAAGCTCACCCGCCGCAACGCAACAGCGAAGCGGAGGAACCCAATCAGCGGCCGAAAATCAGAAAGGTCAACAGCACGTCGTCCGCGAACAGCCAAGCGTCTCAAGCTCCCTCCATAGTTGCCGTTCCGGCCCACCAGGAAGTTCCCGCGGCGGAGGCGGAGGCGGTCTCAATCAACGTGGTGGTGGCGGCGGCGCGAATCAGCGTGGTGGTGGCGGCATGAACCAGCGTGGTGGTGGTGGCATGAACCAACGTGGCGGCGGTGGGATGAACCAGCGTGGTCGAGGAAATGGARGTCCCATGGACCAAAGGCCGATTGAAAGGTCGCGCCGAGTGGAGGACAGCGCATATCATGCCGGATTCCGGGATGCTGTAGCACAGCTGGAGCGCGAGAGAGAAGGGCCGGCACGATCGCGTTCACGGCCTCGGGGCAACAATATGCAGCTGGTCTCTTGATGGTGGTGTTTTCGAGCGGAGTTGGTTTCAAAAGTTGTACCTCAGTGTTGGCGTTTCCTCGAAGGATTCACTGTTTGTTCGATGGCTCGTGTAGGACTAGAGCGAATTGTTGGTGTAGCTGGCTTCGTATGATCATTGCAGCATTATACCGTTCCAGGTCGTCGTGTGTTCGGCACGTGAGTAGTTATGACAATGTCAGTCGTTTGCGCTAGGCATTCTCCGAGTGGTTGATCGGTCGAGCTTAGTAGGCAGGTCAGCTCTCGAGACCGTAGGCTGACATATGTCAACTCGTCAAGCCAATAGCATGCTCTTGCGGTAGCCCTCCTCGATGTTCTCCACGCATTCAACCCTGCCGCCCAATTCCAGGCTGGTAAAATCAAACACTATCCTTCTCATTCCATCAAGCACTTCTACTTTGATCTGGTCATTTGCCAGGCCACAAATCAAATCCACCCTCGCACGTTCAGTCAGCTCCCAACTTTGCGCCAACCAGTCAATATTTGTGGTACTGTCCGCGAAAACGCTTCCGGCAGGCCTGGAGTCAAGTCGCACCAACGCTAATGAAGACGGCGGGTGCATGTTGTTGTCGTCTCTCTCTTCGCCATCCTCACCCAGATCATCGCGTTCATCATAATGTTGGCCCACAATGCAGAATCGCAGGAGTCCCAGTCCTACAGAGTGCAGCGCTAAGATGACCTCTTTGAGGACCTTCAACCTTCCATGCTGCGCAAAAATCCACCCGGAGACTGGCTGCAAAATGTACTTTGAACTGGGCTTTTGAGGTCCTTTCAACAGGAGCGCTTGTGAGGTCTCCGAACCATACAGCGTGCCATTATTGAGGTTGTGCAAGCCCCAGATGTTGACTTCATTGATTATGAGGAGGTTCTCTGCATCAAGCTTCCGGAGCCACTTCAGCAGCGGGGCAGTTGGGCCTGAGCCCAGGTGCGCGTTGAATCGAGTCAGAGAGTAGAACATGGCGAGAGTTTCGTGGCGGATCTGCTGACATGTTTGCGTGAGGGGATGCTGGAGCTTATCGGACTGCAATTTGACGTTGACGGCACATGGAGAGGCAAACACATTGGTCCAGATCTCGTTTCTGATCTCCGGCGAGAGACGGATGAAGTTCGAATTCTCCATGGTGTTGTTGATGTTGTTGATGTCAAAGGTCGAATGGCATGGCGGGGAAAAGGTCGCGCCACGGGGGGAATGGGAAGTCGAAGCTAGAGGTAGGAGGAGTACGACAACCTTTGCTTGGAACTTGGCGCAGTGCCAAAGGTGTGGTATACAAGATAGCTCTCTTTGTTACATGTTGCAAGAGCCGTGCAGTGCGATCATATGCAGCTAGCTGTCGCGTTCTTAAACATTTCTGCGAAGATCCATGATGCTCTAGACGTGAGCCTTCGCCTGTTCCACTACGGTTCGCTAGAACCTTCCCTCAAGATGCAGCAAACGGAGCAATCCCTCTGACTTTGTGGCAACGTTTGACGAACACCACTCCAAAGTCTTCCACAGAACAATGGGGACGGAGGATTGGACGTAGACTGATGAATGCTGGCGGCCTATGCAGATGTTGCTGCTCTGAGACAACCAACCGTCCTCACTGTGAGCTGATGAGAGTACTAATGTGTCGGCGAGACGCCGAACATGGCGACTCGAGTGAAGTGACCGTCGCCTTTGGGCTACGGGCCATGAGGACAGCATGCTCTCCACAGTTTTAAAGAATGAAGGACACTCCCATTGAGACCTCAACCCTTTTCAACCCGTTTGCAAGGTTYCTTGCTGTCGCGATGGCCACACCCATTGCTTGAACTCATCATAAGTCCACCTCGCAACATCGGCAACTGTTTCCTCCACACGTTCCGCGGTGGTGCGAGGAGAGAACTTGGCCGCAGCCTGAACGCAGATCTGTGCATCCATCGTTTCCAAGGTGGCTGTCCACTCCGCGCCAGGAATGCCGTATCTCACACCTCCTTGATCCTCCTGGCTATAAGCGGGCGAGACGCGAATGACATGGAAGTAATTCGCATACGTAGGTTTCTTATAATCGATGCTGAACTGCACCGGCTCCGGCGTGCCATCTGTCGGCGCGGACATTGTAGCATGACTTCCACTGCCTGGGAGTCGCTGCGGTACAGCAGCAGATGACACTCCAGATGCCCCATGTGCAAGAGCGGCCGCAAGTGCAGTCTTATCCTCCAGCGCAGTCGCTAGCAGCCCACCATGAACAACACCCGGCCATCCAGACAACGCTCCACCAAACCACACAATGGCGACCATCTTCTGCTCGCTGCGATCCCAGAAGATGCGCTGCACGCCTAGTCCCTTCGCGCCTTGGAGCTGGTCGACAAGGCCGTCGTGAAAGGGCAATTGCTCACCAGCATCCAGCGTTGCTGGCAAAACCTCCACCCAACYAGCTTCCTCACCCTTGAGCTGCTTTGTCACTCCGAGACACTTGCCGCGCAAAACCTTGACCTTGAACTCATCGTCGATGCGCCGGTTGAGGTCTGCGATGAGGACGTTGTCCTCGTGTGTGCCAGCCATCGGCATTGCTGGAGGAAGAATCAGGTGGAGAGCATATTTGCCTGCCGCTGCACCAGATACAAGAGCGAGGGTGCTCCATATGATGGCAGCACGGTATCGGCGGAAAAGAGACGGCGTCGGTGGTGGAGTCGCGGCTGGACGGGCTGTCGACGACTCACATCGACGAAGCCATTGATATCGATTCGACAGATGTGGCCGCAGTGCCCGCGGTCGGACGAATCGCGCGACGTTCATCGTGTTTGTGGTATTATTGTTCAATACTTTACAATGTAGGTAGTACAAAAGGATCATCCTGCGGGAGAGGTGGAGTCTCCGGCAAAACAAAAGTGGGGCGCGCTTCCTCACGACGAATGGACCTTGGATGCATCATCACTCTCTCCACAAGATCAACTGACACATGCCCCACCAGCCTCACATGCGAAGCAGGGCATGTCCCATTGTCATCGACAAAGGGACGATTTGACCTACCAGAGCGACTCCTTGCATCGGAGGGTGTTCAGACTTAGTGGATCCTCTCGAGCATCCTGGCGCTGGCGCTTTGGCAGCGAATCATTGGGACGAATGCAGTGATTTGATTGTCAAGAACAGCCTCCGATGCAAAGAGATGTTGTAAGTTCAAAGACTCCATATAGAGCGTGCTTTCTGTTCACCTCCTGAAGCTCTCTCGATCCATTGGTCACGCAAGTCAGTGGAACAATTGAACAATCAGACAAAGAAGCGGCGCTTTGAACTATCTAAAGATTCCTTTCACTCCTTCACACACTCTCTCTTTGACCTTTCTTCTCATTTCACAATGACATTTTCTCTCGACGGCATATATCTGCTCCAGTTATTCCCACTCTGATTGCATCTCAAACAACATCTCCAGACACAAGCTCCAGACACAAGCTCCAGACAAAAGTATCCAAAGCAGGTCTTTAGGAAAGCAACACTCTGTACTTGACCCATCCTCGACACGTCCAAAAAGCACCAACATCCTCGTCAATTCTCAACCATGAGTATCATCTCCTTCAAGAAAGAAGTTACCGGCGAGATCGCTCCCACTTCTCTTACCAATCCAGAAGGCCCAGTCTTCGATATCCTCAATTGCGGTAAGTTCCACCTTCCTTGCAAGGGTGCTGACACGGTCGTCCAGCTTCTTGCTCATTTCGAAGCTCAATCATTGCATCTCACCCACAACATTTTGTGGTCGCAAGCTGTCTCGCACGAGGATGGCGGTCCCAAGGGAGCACCAATCGACGTCTTGGCAGAACCTAAAAGCTCCGCAGCCTTGTTGACCGATGTAGAGCTTTACATGTCTCTGCAAGGCCTTGAGTGGGTCGTAGGCAACTTGGAGGTACGTGTAATTCCATCACGCGGAATGTGCGGCGGTCAAACTTCATGGGCACCAGTGCGAGCGTTCCATCCGGTTACGGGCCTGCCAGGACGCGGCTCCACCATCGACGTCTGCGCCGACAACCTCGATAAGATCAATGAAGCTTTCGAAACCGACAACGTCATGGCCCAGCAATACTGGATGTTCAACTTGGCTCGTCTCTTCTTCCACGAATTGGGACACGCATTCACCTTTGCTGCGCTGGACACCGATCTCAGAGGGCATTGCTTCCTCGGTGACGCGAAGACTACTGAGATGGGCTTCGAGCTGGAGCAGAGATTGTTCGGCGGCATCATCGACGATCATGGTATAGGATCAACCTCTGGCCCCAACCCCAAGGACCGTCTTGAACATTTAACCACGCTAGCTGAGTACCCCTGTGCTCAGATCAGCGACCAATACCACGACACGTGCTATTCGAGAGGTAAGCCATGTGATCGTATCGCTCCACAGTGGGAAGTACCCTTCACCTACATCAACCGCATGTTCCAGGATGAGTTCTGGCACAATCTGCCTTCGACTGGTCCGGAAGCTTCTTTGAAGTTCAAGCCAACTCTTGGGTGCATGCTCAAGGTCTGGCCTTATGTTCCAGAGAAGGGAACCACTCTGTCGTACGTGAACCCCAGAGCTCCTGGTGTTTTGCCGTTTGTGCCCTCGGGCTTCAAGCCTGATCCCAACGGTGGTTACATCCGGCGAGTCGAGGCGGAGGCGGAAGTCGAGGCGGAAGTCGAAGCAGAAGTCGAAGCGGAAGTCGAAGCGGCGCCCGAAGCGGCACCCGGACTTCTAAGTAAGTTTCTGGGGGCTGTTGTCGGCACCATTCGAAGGTAAGTCGAAGGCGGAACGATGGGGTAGTCTCTGACAGCAGGCTGTCGGGAGTCAACCCCTGAATTAAAAGGTAACAATGTATAAACTAGCCACGCACAAACCAATCTAAATATCAACTTCCGTTCCACAATATCTTAGTGACTGTGAAATTAAAGGTCGTCTACTCTCCTTGTAGTGAATCGACTACAACGCTCGCTCAGGGGTGGCTAGCTATACGCGTGAAAAGAAGCAGCCTTGCGGGGGGTCGAACATCTTATTAAATGCTATCTCCTTAACTCGTACTATCTCTCTAGCTCCTCTTTGGACTGATGGACGAATAACACACGATGAGTTAAATTGGAGATGGAACATCGCAAACAAACAATGGATGAAGAAAAGGGTTCCAACACGTTTAAAGATACTATTTTCGGTACAGCATCCACATAACTAAGTCTTTCCTTTTAAAAATATCCTGAAATATTGATCATCTATGTATCTAACACACCCTAAAGTGCAAAGGCTACAGTGTCGCCGTAGCGATTTTTGCATTACCCCAACCCTAACCCTTAAATTTTCGTGGAGGAGGGCTGCATGAGAAGGAGAAAGCTATAATGATACTGCACAGAGCACAAGACCTTTAATGCCGCAGACAAAGCGGCAATGTTCAAATTCACGGGACTTTGGTCTCTCGTGCTTTGTTCGATGCCGGTACGAAAAACCTTGTCGTGACTGTCTCTACCTTTTAAGTCGATTGTCTTTGTGTATCACAGGGACATGACGACCTCTCAGACTTAGGCGCTTCCTGCTTTTGTGTCTCATATATCTGACGGATACACACTCATGCAATGCCAAAGTCTCTGTGACATGCTAATTGAAATAGGTATATGATGCGCTAATCATGATAGTCTTCGTAAAGTAGGAGTCTTTCCTTCCTCAATATAAACTCAAAGGGAAAATGCTGAAGACGCCATGCCAAATGCAGAGTCTATGTGCCATCACCGTATGTCGCCGTGTATTATCTTCCGTCGTTTCAGCTGTCTATTCTTGCCGAGTCGTCGTGGGTGGAATGGCCCACTCCTCCACCTCTTGCGCCGGGGTCAGCACTTGGCCCCGAGCAGAAATGGTTGGGTGATAAAGTTGTGAGTTGCGCGCGCTACCAGGCCGTGAGTCCGATTCGATACTCAGCTGGTCAACGCTCCTGTTCGAATCGGAAAGTAGGCCATAGGCACTCGAAATACTACGCGGAGGGCCTCTGGAACCTCCAGTCCCCGCGCGCGGCCGAACCGTGGGCGCTGGTACATCGCCGATGATGTCCAATGTGCTTGTTCTCCCTCCGACACGTAATGAATCTCTGCTCGTCTGAGGTACGACGCCTACGCCTACGGGCATGGTAATACTGCGAGACTTTGTCCCGACTGGTGATTTGCCTGCGGTTTTTGACAAGGCCGCTCCGTCATCGGACACACTTCGAGCAATGTCAACCGGCTCAGACGCGCCATCACCACCATATGCTTCTAGACGCTGGAAATCCCTGGTCGACCAGCTGGGTCGGTGTGGTCTCGCACCGTATGGAAGGTTCATGGTACTGACGCTCCTCACGCTCTGCGCCCTGCTGTTTGACCTGCTTCCTGGAGTGTCTCTCATCGAGCGGCTCTCGTCAATGTTGACTTGAGACGCATTCGTATCGCCAAGCATCTCGCGGGAAAAGTCGGTGTCTTCGTCTTCGATTTTGGCCAATCGCCGGACGTTGGTCATCTCGAAGCCGATCTTAGGCTCTTCTTCCGGTGGTGGGACTTCTTTCTCCTTCTTCGCCTTCTTCACTTTAGGAAGGTCGTGGACTGCCTCATCCATGTGGTCAAAGTATTTCTCGCGTCTGCCATGCCACTTCCTGGGCCTGAAGTCTTCCCGGTTGCGTGATACAGACATGTAAGAGCTGATGGCACCAATAAAAATCGCGATCATTGTGATGATGGTCAAGATGCCTTGTATCACAATGATGACGACGCCGATCACCGTCGTGGGTATGCGAGCAACGTTGAAGCCGACATCAAACGCAGCCGAGAGGCCGACACTGGTCACCTTGCTGAAGCCAAGGCAGTAGACCACGATGATGTTAAGTCGCTGCCCTTCGAATGGCCGCATCCAGATGACGAATGCAAACGCTACCACTTCGATGACCAGGAGTCCAAACACTTGAGCTTTMGCGAGACCCGAGGCGCCGCCGTAAAACACTGCGCGGATGAACTCGTACAGCAGCCAGTATGTGAAGAACCACCACCGCGTTCGCCGAAAGCGGGCAGCCAGCCAACCAAACTTCATGATGTAGTCCTCATCGTCGTGTATGCTCTTTTGTCCGCCATCGACCAGTGTGTTACCACTTCGCTTTGAAGGTATGCTGGCTTTCTCCTGCCCGAGCTTGTTCTGCTGTTCGGCTGTAACTGCATCGACTGARGCAATTTGAGTACTTTTCGATCCAAACCATGGCATCCTGCTCAGGAGCGTCTTGCGCTCGTTGCTATGGGCATGCGAGCCAGTCTCTGTGACGTTGACTTTGTACCAGTACGCATAGGCGGYCACGCCCAGCATCCCGATAAAGAATAGGATGAAGAAGATCGCAGCGATCGCTTTGACACCACCAGAGGATTCGTAGGTGAATTGGAAGATTGACAAGAACATGATCACGAAGAAGGCAATGTAACAAGTCCTGAGCSCAACAGCCATGGTGTAGCGAATCCAGTGATCGCGAAAGAACTTGAGCCTGTTCTCCTGAATGGCCTTGAAGCGAGCAAGGCCCTCCAGGCTCCACTTGAGGGCAACCACAGCAGAGACCAAAAGCACGAGGAGGATGATGAACCACAGCAGTCCCGTCATGAATGCGTTGCTGACTCGAATGCGCTCTGTGGCAAGATTACCCGCGAACCCCGAGTAATTGCCCGGCAAAGGTAAGCCAGCTGGAACGGGGTTTCCGCCCCATATGTAGCCATCACCGCCAACACTAGGAGCAGCACGGGATTGGAGGGCGCGCTCTACCTGTCGTTGTACAATGTCCCGCCTGAGGACGACACTCGGATCGCGCCCGTAAATTCCTGAAGCGATGTCGCTGAGAAGAGGATGGTTGGCCGCTCGCTTCATGCCAGAGGAGAACGCTCTCTTGTAGAGCAAGCTGAGTTCAAAGCCGCCGCCCACATTGGCATTGTCGCTGCCAGATTGCGCAGCGCCGACTGACGAGGTGTTGCCGATGTTGTTACCAATTAGTTTATCAATGCTGCTTTGCATGCTCGAGCTGTAGATCATGCCACCCGCCCAAGCAAAGTTGCTCCACCATGCGGGCAACACGGACGGCCAGTTGACCGACAAAGCTCCCGTGAAGAAAATGTGATGCCACACTGCAAACACAACGCCGACAGATAGAGAGTGAGCGTAGTGCAGCCTCATGGTGGGAACCGCTTCTCCATAGATGGCAGTCGCGAAGGATGCGATCAACGCCACGAACGTGAAGACTCCAAGCACTGACCCGACAGCAGCGGGATGGCTGAAAGAGGCTCCATTGGTGAGGACTGCAGAGGAACAGGCGATCTGGCTTTGCGAGGTGTTGGAAAAGATGCGGAGAATGGCCTCGCCCTCGAAATCAGGAATACTCAGGGCGATGGATGGAATGGCCGCCACATCTGCGTTCGACACGGGGATGATGCCTTCGCCGTAGATGGGAACACTGCTGTTCATAGGACATAGGCTAGAATGAGATCAGTAAAGAGACCAAATCCAGACCAAAGCTCATCATACCTGGCAATATTTGCACTGCAAGGGTTGAAGATCTGTTCAAAGTACTTGTTTCCATACGCATAAACACCAATGTACAGCATGACATTGTCGGTAGCCACTCCAGTGGTACCACCGAGGTGAAACTGCACCGTCATGTTGTCCTTGTAGTAGGCGGCGTCGAAGCGAGTGAAATTGATGGTACTGTCTTGCGTGCAGTCGCCAAAATTCTGGGTGTAGATTGAGGGTCTGCGGTTGTCTGCCAACAAGACCGTACCATCCTCGCCCGTGTATTCAATGGTCCTTATGCTATCCGCAGCTATCGCTACCTGCAGACACGCGAAGAAGGCGGACAGCGCCAACAGGCCCGTCCGTATCCGTGGAATCATCTTCGTATGCGTCGTGATGCGGTTCGTAGTTGGATGTGAGATGCTGGGCGTATCTTGGCTCAATATTGGCGTCGGTGTTCCCCAAGCGGCTCTTTCAGCGCCAGCGCGGAAGCCACGGGGATGACTGGGAAGGGGAGAGTCTCGGTGCGGTATGCGGACCGCAGACAACGGCGGTGATATGGTCCTCGAGTGGGAGACGGCGGTGAGAAGCTCAAATGACTTGGACACGGACAAAGCCAACTCCCGGCGGCTGAACGTAGCTTCCTCCCGGCATCGATGCTCGTCCAAATGCTCAATGGAAGCGACAATCTTCCAGGCTGAGCAGTAGACCGACAAGCTGGAGCTGTCGAGGCGGTGGTAGAGTGGGAAGCGCGCGGTCGGATGTTGGGCGAGGAGCGTGATAACAACCTTGAAAGTGAATCGTCAGACGCACAGGGCACTAGCGGCATTAGCGGAAGGTAGCTCCCGCGGATGGAAAGATGATGCTTTGTTTTCACTCCCAGCCTCTTCTCACTAAAATTACGATGAAGGGACAGACGAGCATCGAGAAGCCTCAAAAAGTAGATGCAAGTCACAATGTACGACACTTCACTTCTGTTCGCGACCCTCCAGGTAAGTTACAGCATGCAGCAGCTTGGCTTGCAGAAGGGACAGCAGTTCCTAGCTTGTGATAAACTCAATCTTGAATCTTCCCGTCTATCCGAACCAACCTTGGAAGCTGACGTGGACGGGACGAGGCCCAGCCCAGTCAGCTCCCTTTGATAAAGTACCCAACTGTGGATGGACGAGACCGATTTCACTGCTTCGACACCTGCAGGCTGGCAGCGCATAACCTGTAACCAGCGAGTGCCACACGTTGCGACCTGAATCGAAGCACCCAGGCCAACCGTTGACAATTCACATTCCACATTTCCAAGCAATGTCGTAAGCTGCCGGATCCCGGTTACACCATTAACCGCTCGCAACTTGTGCATTTCTTGGTATCCTCCGGTTTTTTTTGAGGGGTATCCTCCGTTCTCAGCTGCGAGTCTCGACACGCACAAGTGCGACCGGACTATTCGCGTACCTGCAGCGGCGAAGCTCTCCTGCGCTCGAATGATGGCAGCGGTGACTATGATACATCTGGCGTGAGGATCTCTGCCCGAAGCCTTTCTGGGCATGTTCATACGCGCTGGCCTGGGCAATGCGAGCATCAAACGTACCGGCAGATTCGACTCGTCGCCCGCCTACTCATGAGCAGCGTCCGCGGAGCCCACTCCGAGGAGTCCGAGCAGCTCAAGCATCCTGGTCACTCCAAATTTGAGGCGGTTCTGAGTCTTGGTTGCATCGTATTGAGCAGCGATACACCACTCTTCCAGGATCTGACGTCGCCTTTGGGCTGAAAAGTGCGACACCACCGCGAGCTACCAAACAATGAATAACGGTTTCGCAAACTGAATCACCAAAAGCCATGAGGATGATGTGATTCACAATAACTTGCTCACCACTGACAAGACGTCTCATTGGAAACATTGATGTGTTCTGGACTACTATCAATACAGAAGTCATGTTTGCGGAATGACAGTCTAGTCCTAGCTTCGGGCGAAAGGGTGCCCGGCTGACAGCCACAACATATCTGCGATTGCAATGCCAAATTGAGCCGAGTGTTCTTCGAACAGCGAGTTCGACAAGTTACCCGGGAGAGTCGTAGGAGGAACTTCTCAGAAGCGCTACCTTGGAGAGCCCTTTTCAGCCGACGATCCTCAACCGCTCCAGCAAGTCAGTCGGCGAGAAATCATCAAATCGTGTGTATCCACACTCAACAAGGGAGTACAAGCTCCACAGCTTCGCCCATCGGAGACTTCAGAGTGAAAGCCGTGCTTAATGAGCACAGCCAGAGGTGATGCAAATTTTCTTGAGCATCATCATTGCGTTCGTAAGGTCAATATGGACAAGAACTGAAGTAGGTATGTACAAACTTTCATCTTCGTCTAAAACGCAGCAATGATCATAAAGGCGTCATGCTGTTGTGAATCAGATTTGGTAGCGGCCGACTCGGTTGGTCAACTGCTCAGTAAACCACATGCTGTTATCCGACTTCTCGTAATGCATCGCAATGTTGGAAACAGGTGGCAAGCTCGGGAGCAATTCCGTAACGAGATCAACACCAGTGCCTGGCTGCTTGATACTGGTGACTTTACCGGTCGATGGAGTGAGGTAGTTGAGCGAGTTACGAGTCAAGGTGGAGTACCAGRTATTGCCTTGGCTGTCGACTGTATCCTCAATCGGAATGGCGCCAACTCTAGGGTCGGTAAAGGTCTTGGTTTCACCAGTGCACATGTCGATACGTCCGATGGCGTTGGCGGCGAGAGATGTGAACCAGAGGTAGCGGCCCTCGGTCTCGGCACGCATTACGGCGGGAGTGAAGAGGTCGAGAGGGAGTGGGTATTCTTTGAATGTGCCATCGGTGGCATTGAGACGACCGATCTTGTTCTACTGTGTGTCAGCTTGCGAGATGATGCCGTCGCGAAGGGTGAATGTCACATACCGCGAAGAATTCACAGAACCAGATACCGCCGTCGGATCCGACGATGATACCGAGCGGACCAGCAAGGGGRGTCGGCACGGTGTAGTTCTTGATCTCATTCGTGTTGTAGTCGATGCTGATGAAGGTCAGTCAATCTTACTCCCACAATATGAGTGGATAGTGCTCACAGGTTGATGACGTTGGCGGTGGTCTGAGTGAACCACATCTGGGGAGAGCGTTAGTGAGAACCAAGTGCATCCAAAGTCCATGCCGGGAATGACTGACTCCTGTCTCGCCTGGCCAAGCATCGTTAAATGGCTCCAAATTGCCAAGTGGGTTACCAGTCTCCAGGACGGTCATGTCCTTGGTGAAGGGATCAAATATGACAAACTCATTCCTGACACCAGCAGCAGCGTAGATTTTCTGGCCAGCGGGTTAGTCACTATCATGAGTCGGCACGGAGACAAATACACACTCCATTCTTTCCAGGCTGGACAACACAAGACAAAGCAACTCTGCCTAGCGCATCACTTGGAAGGACATCGAGACCGAGGACTGGAATGGTGTATGGGATGTCATACTCGGTCAACTCTCCACTAGGACGATCTATTTGCACGATCTTGTTCGAAGTGAATGTATCGGCCTACGCGGAAAGGTCAGACAAGAGACGAGGCATGGAAACGTGTCGCGATCGTCAACTTACATAGATGTTTCCATCCTGTCCGGTGGTAAGATCACAAGGCAGCGCCAGGGGAGTCTTCAGAGGAAAGTATGTAAATCTATCATCCTGCCTTGCCACTGGCGAAGCGCTTGCAGCGCTGCATACCAGCGCAATGCTGGCCGTCCACGATGCGAGAGTGAGCATGTTGATAAATCGCAGGATCCGCAACGGGACCGCGCAAAGACGATTGCGAAAATGTATATGCAACGGGAATGGCGGTAATGAAGGTAAAGGAGACCAACTAGCGTGCGCCTGGTTCGCCTACTCCTCGTTTGGTGTGGCTTGGGTCTTTCTCTGTTGAAGTTTATCTGGTATGAAACGTCATAATCTCGAGGGRGAAGAGGTATATGCWATAGGGGTCTGCTTGGCCACCTGGGCAGTACCAGCAAAAAGAAACGGTTGAAACGACGAAGCACTGGAAACTGTCAGTCGCAGTGTTGTTGGTGGGTGCATAACTTCATTTCCAAGGTAGCGATGAGATCGTGGCATCTCTTCACACCATCGAGTCATTGACATTCAACGGCTGTGTGTTTGTCATGCGAGGCCGTTGCTTTTAGATCGACAACAGGGCTCTTGCCAAGACGTGCAGATCCTYGCGGGGCAAAGACATGCTTTCCATTCTTGGCCATGTGGCGTCGCCAACTACACACACATTGCCGAATCATCAAAATGTTCACCCCGCCCTTCCTCAATATCAAGACCAGAATGACGCGGACCTTTCATTKCGCCACGTGTATACACGAGCATTGTCGTCAATCGCTATGATCTTAGTTCACCAACACCTGGCGCGATCGAGGTGAAAGCTCGACGCTGGCAGAAGTCTAGAACGGCATATCTCAAAGCGGCAGAGTGCCCTGTAACCGCAAGCTTCGGATCTCGCAAAGTCCTGGGTGACGACTCCGTGCTCCTGTCGGCAAACACGGCGACCTTATGAACTCGCAAGAAAGGCATGTGCCCAAATGGGACTGAGCCTTACAGTACAGGCCGATCTTCGCGCCTCTCACATGGCAGCCGGCAAGTTAGTTGATCTCTGGGCTTGAGTTGGAATGGTCACCCTTCTTGMCATGCAGTCGTTGCAATTGGATCACATCCTGTTAGATTTCAGACCATCCCCTCTGCATCTGTAAGCAAAACATCCCCAAGCTAACATATTTAAGCCAACATGGTAAGACTCTATCTTGAATGTTCCATGTACAWCGATCATGCTTTGCAGTCATTGTCACAGCCAGTCGATGTCGGTCGATGTCGGGCATGCCCGCACGGAAGGGCACGATCCTATCGATCTATGGGAGCATGCCCCCCGAGATAGATGACATGAAATCTGGCCATCGGCACTTTTCTGTTCCCAATTCAAGACCGGAAGCCGCTCTGATGGCTGCTTCAAGTTTAGAAATGCCGGAAACAAACCAGATGACTCGTTCGGGCAAGGACCTGGTGCTAGAGGAGCAACGAAAGCCCACCGTCGATCGAAGACCAACGAGACAGGCAGAATTCGCCAAAGAAGTTGCAGAAGCTGGAGGAGTGGATGACCGCTCCGAAGACGAGCTTGCTTGAAGCTTGTATCACAAAACTAGCCCAGGAACCCAGACGTACATTGCACGTTGGGACCGTGGGCGCACGTTATCATAGCACTCAATTTCGATTTGAGCTGTCATCTATTATTCCATCATTAGTCATGGTTCATGCCAACATACTACACTCCATACACGACAGCGACCTCTACGCCCACTTGCCCAGCACACTCATTAAAATCATTCCCAGCATGAGCGCTACCAGCGAGCTGATAGTCTTGACAACACCGGCGTGGAGTAATCCCCCYTTCTCAACAACCCAATCTCTTGCCCACATATCCACCACACCAACCCAGATCAAAATACCCGCCGAAATCGCGTTCAGCGTACCAAAAGYAATCATAGTGCTTGGGTCATTCCCGTTGAACGAGTCCAAAACGCCAATCCCAATGGCCATCCCGATAGGAGTGATGAGAGTGAATAGGAACGCCATGGCGAACTTGGTCGGGAAGATGGAAGTGTTTGGGAGGAGCGAGATCCGTGCTCCCAAAGCGAGACCTTCAAAGAATTGATGGAAGACTACCACCGCTAGGAGTGTCCGGAAGGAGCTGTCCGGTGTCACAACCAGAATCAGTCCGATGATGATGCTGTGAAAGATGATACCGGCCTCCATTAATGAGACAGAGAGCTTGTTGTTGTCGCCGCCGTGATGGTGGTCCATGAGTAAGAAGGCGTTGCGGCTCTGCTTGTTTGTCTGAGTGCCAGACTTCTCGCTGTGATCTTGCGCAACTGCGGAGGAAGCACTTGATGCGTCCCCTGCAATCGTTGGCTTGCGCGAATCGGCGATACGGTGACCAACGTAGTCGATGAGGAACGAGAGGAATAGCCCTGCCATTACTATGGCTGAGGTTGTACCTTCATAGTACACTGGCCAATTTATGCACTCATTACTGAGATAAAGCTGGGCATGGGAGTACAGCTGTTGTCAAGACGTCAGCATGTCTGTTGACAACTCCGTCCAAGTGACTTACATGGATAAAGGCAGTTGAAATGATGATGCCGGTACCAAACTGCTTGACCACCAGCAAGATATTGCCCAGCACGTTGTTTCCCAGGGGAAGTTTGGTGAGGATCAGCGGTGCAAAGACACCGATTCCGCTCGTTACAAGAATGACAAAGATCATGCCGATTCGCAAGCCCTTGTTGTAGTCACGATCTGGCATACCGCAGTCCACTTCTTCGGCAGCTCCACCGACACAATGTCTATACGATAATAGTCAGCAATTGCGGCGTGGACACAATAGAGCTCAACTCACGGTACTCCCGCGTGATCGTGACAATGCTGACTTTCACCGGCTTCCTCCTCTTCGGCAGGAGCAGCTTCCGCTCCAACAGGTACTACCGCCACATCTTCGCCTTCGTCTGTGAAGCAATATCTACAGGTATGATTAGCATAGCAGCAAACGAGGGAAGACAGGAGACTCACTGTTCTCCAGGAGCATGGGCATGGCACCCGCTATATGCTGCAGGAGCTTCGCCAGTCGGTGWCGCTGCCACTGAAACTTCGGTTCCCGCGCCATTTGTACAAAAGACACCTGAAGTACCCGAGTGCGTATGGCATCCGGTCACTGCCGTCGTCTGGGCACTTGCTGCCGTGGTGCTGGCGGGAACTGTAGTCGCGGCGTAGGTCTCGAAAACCGTTCTCGTTCCAGCAGGACCTAGACATCCGTACAGTACATTGCTGCCGATGGTTTGGTTGCTACATCCGGTGTAGGTGGTTCGTTGCGCATCTACGCGATGAAGTACGAGCGCCGCAATAGCCAATACGTTCAACAGCATGTCGTGCCTGCGTTTGCTAGTGATGTGATTGATCGAGAAACCGGCAGGAATTGTTGTAGCACTACAATACAACAAATGTACAGATATTACAAARGAAGTTTCGACCTTGAGAGTCCATCTTAGTCCGCCAGCCGAACATGAGGCCCGCCCACGAGGCTGATGGCAGGGTTGCAATGCCCWGACGGTAGGTCGAGAGCGCCCAGCAGGACCTTGATGGTCAGTCCGCGGACGACTCTTCGTTTCTGGTCAAGTGCATTGCATGCCCAGACCGCCGAGTTGGAGCACTGAGGAATGAGTGGCTAACCGAATCTTCCTCTTGCAGAGAAGAATCTGGATGGAGTGGAAGCGTGGGACTGGGTGGATATGTCCATCAAGGTTGTGCTGGGCAAGCTTCCTTGGCTTCTTGGTATACCACACTCGGACCTACAGCACTTCTATTCAGGCTTACTTATCAACCTAGAAATGGAACGACTCTGAGTCCAGTATGAACAAAAAACGATGTTCACGCCTTTTTACTGGGCTGATTCAAACAAGAATCAGACTCAACGCCAAAGTCTCGGATTTCTGACGTTTTGATGAAGACGAGATGTCTGTTCGCAGCATCGTTGACAAGAGTGACGAACGATCTACGGCCGTGGATGAGAAGAAGTCCTTGGCAGCCATTGGGGTGCCGGCTAGGCCTGCGGTTCCCACTCTCTAACAGGCTTGACGAGCACTTTCTTTGGACCATCACCGTCGGTCCGTAGACCGATCGAAAGGTCAACGACCGCTCGGGTGCAACACTGATTCCTTTGACCACAAAGAGACGGTGTGAGGCGGACTCTCTCGCGTGTGGCAATGCCATGGTTGATACAATGCGGACCGGACATGGAATCGCATAGCTATCTTTCCAGTAGAGGACGGAGCTGATCTTCTGCAATGGGAAAAGTCCCCTCCCGGCTGTACCACGATGACTTCGGACCTGGTGCCTGGAATGATCGTATGCACGTCAGCGACACGTTGGACGCACGTGCGTAAAAGCCTCAACGTTTATCCCACGCGGGTGTGAATGGAGAAAACTCTTCTCATGAAGCACCCTGATGGACAATGCCAAGCGAACCAGACGATGAGATACCGCTTTCGGCCAACATAGTGGCCTTGGTATTTTGCTTCATGCCCAAGCCCCTGCACATTGGAAGCGAAGAACAGCAGCCATGATGCTGTCGTATAAGAGGTGCCCTTGTCCAGTGTATGCAGACCAAATCTCACCATCGATCTCTTCTCCGTCTCCATACATAGCAGTGCAACCATGTTGACCCTTCGATCCCTCCTCCTTTCCGCTGTGGCAGTCTCAGCCATCCCAACTCCGGCTGAGAAGCGTCAAGCCCAGCCATTCGCTGTGACTCTCCAGCAGCCTTGGAACGCCGGCGCCGTTACTGAGTTCAACATCCACCAAAGCTGCAATGCTTCCGAGCGATACCAGCTTCAGAGAGGTCTGGACGAGGCTGTTCAGCTTGCAGAGCACGCGAAGGCACACATTGCCCGCTGGGGAAACAACAGTGCCATTTACCGCAAGTGGTTCGGCAACCGTCCCACGGTCGAGGCATTGGGGAGCTATGATGTGATTGTCAGCAGTGACAGGGCTGGTGCCTTGTTTCGCTGCGATGATCCCGACAGCAACTGCGCCATGAACCCAAGTTAGTACCAAACACCATCGAGAAGCACTATAAACTAACCTTCTTCCAGGCTGGGCCGGCCATTGGCGAGGCGAGAACGCAACCTCAGAGACCGTGATCTGCGAGCCGAGTTTTGCTACACGCCGCATGCTCTCGCAGGTATGCGCTCAAGGCYGGAATGTACGAGAAGGTAGCCGCACCGCATTCTGGGCCTCGGATCTGATCCACCGCCTTTACCACGTCCCAGCCTTCGGCCAGGAGTATATTGAACATTTCGCCGACGGCTACGACGAGCTCGTTGGCAATGCTACGCTCAACAGCGCAAACATCACACACGACTCAGACGGACTCCAGTACTTTGCCTTGGACGTCTGGGCACACGACGTTATCTTGCCTGGTGAGGGATGTCCTGGACCGACGGGGCCGATTGCTGCTGTAACGTCTGCCATGTCTTCTGCATCAAGCTCCACAACACCAACTCCAACTTCGTCCGATGTTGCTACAAGCGCCGCTGCCACCACTGCTGAGGCAACTCCAACAGAAAGTGGCTTACCAGATGTAAGAACTTCCCCGTTTCTCTTTCTTTGAAACGTGAAGACTAATCGCCCGCAACAGAACTGCCACTACCACGGCACTGACCTCCACTGTGTCTKAGTGTCGGCAACGGAAACCCGATACCATGTTCTTCCACACCCAGGACGCAAATGATGTTATGATTCCTAATGGCTGAATGCAGACGAACGCTGTACATAGTAATCAAATGATAGAAACGGCCCATGGCCTTTGACTCTTTATGAACGAACGTCCATCAAGCTCCTACGAGGTTGGCTCCGTGCAGTGTCTCGAGTGAGAGGAGATGACGTCAAAATCGTCGAGGAGTAAGCTCGCGCAGAGGCACGGAACTTACCAAACTTACCTGCTGTGTTGCATCCTGGCGTGTCCGACTATTAACTTTATGCGTCAGTCTCCAGTGCATGCATAAGCGAGAAGGCTGCCAGGTCGAAGCGGGGCGAGAGGCCTTCGCAATCCTTCAAGCCATGGGTATCGGAGTTCGGCGTTACATCCATTGAGTGACTCAGGCTGGAGATCTGTTAAGTATTCATCTCCAGAAAAGATCGCACCTCATCGTAGGTGCAACTCATTTTCACAATTCCAGATCCGGGAGACCTGCTCAAGATGTCAAACAACATGCTTCTTCGGCCCGCCCGGCGTACAGATATACCAGAACTGGCTCGTATTGGTAATGCTGCAAATGCGAATTCCGAGCTCCATAGACGTATGGCACCGTTGCAAGACCAGTATCCGACAAGTCACTATTACTGGCGGCTCAACATCATGCGAGAGCGCTTCGCTACGCCGAATATGCGAATGATTGTGGCCGAAGATGCGTCCTCTGGCGAACTCCTGGGTTTCGCATGCTGGAGTGTCGAGGGTTCCGAGACTTCTTTGTATAAAAAGTGGGTCGGCGAGAGTACATGGGCGAACTGGCTGGAAGGCAAGTTGATCTGGGCGGAGAGGAAGTGGTACAGATACGCCATGGACAAGAGCATCGACTATCAATTCTTGAACAGTTTCATGGCTGTATTTCAAGGGAGCGAGCAGCCTGTACATCCTGCTTGTCTTCATGTACATCTGATTGTCGTCTCGCCAAACGCACAATTCCGAGGCGTGGGCCGGAAGCTGATAGATTGGGGCAAGGAGCTGGCGATGAGCGAGAATCTGCCAATACATCTGGAAGCTAACCTCGAGGCAACGGGGTTCTATGAGAGGGGTGGTTTCTCAAGGATGAGCAAAGAGCTTGTGATTAGTCCTGCTGGCCAAGAGTCGATTCGCTTGCCGGTATTTGTGTGGGRGGGAGAGCAGGATCAGGGCCGTTGGCTCGAGCGAGATGAGAATTTCCRTGGCTCGGACGTTAGGTGGAGATGGAAAGAAGATGTTCTGACCAAGTAAATGTTTTRGCAGGCCCGAGGACGAGCATGTAGTTGTGCGGCGGATTGATCATCGGAGATAACGGGCAAGGTGTATGGCTTCTGGTAGCAGACGTACTCTGATGTCAAGGATGTTCATCGCGGGTGCAGATGGAGGGACGAGACTGAGATACCACGGAAGCTTTGAAGATTAGCGGTGGATTTAATCAAGCCAATGATGTTGCGATTTTGTGTACAAATACACGCAAGATCTTACTTGAGGGGAGGGCGCTTTCCGCCCTTTTCGCTCTCTCAACAGCAGCACTCGAAGGGTGGGTGCAGATTCAGAAGACCATGAATTTATCTGTACTTTAGCTAGTGCCGGACATATCCGAGCCAGTAGTATCGCGGGCTGCCATCTTGGTAATCACACGCAAGGTGAGGGCGGAAATCGCGGTGTTTTCCGCCCTTCACGCTCTCGCTCTCGCTGAAGTCGAACAATTTCCTGTAGAGGGAGGACAATCGATTTTCGATGACTTCAACTAGTGCCGGACGTATCCGAGCCAATCAGACTGCGATTCAAAAGCCGTGGTCTAGGTCGTTCCACTTCCATCACAGCTACAGTCCATACCTCAGTTCTCCTTCACAACGGCCTGCCAGGAACGGCATCAGCTGTCTCAACGATGAACATTGAGACTCATGCACAGTATACTCAAACCGCGGGGCGGATGTTGACTGGCGATCGTCGCTTGCCGGAAGCGGGCAGCTACAATTGCCAACATGCAGCTCGCAGGATGGGCTGAGTGGAGCCCCATCGCTCAGCCTCAGCCATGTTCGTTTGTTGGGCAAGCCACTCGTACGCTATAAAGAGCTGCGCCGGGCCACAGAGGTCTTCGCATCTTACAGCATACCGTGATCTGGCAGACGGACTCCCGAAAGACATACACATAGTCAGTCGCCCTCCGAGAGACGACAATAAAACATGGCTGGGCAAGGCGGACGTTGGAGCCACCAGAAGGCCGGAGATTCATCAAGAATGCACAACGGCCACGTCTTCGGCAACGTCGTAAACAACTATGGCGGCAATCACAACGCCGCGAAACCAACAAGCGTGCCTGCAGGACCACGGACACTGCGTAGAGAAGACTACAATGTGGGATGGATATGTGCTCTGCCAGTCCCCGAATRGCAAGCATCCCGACTCCTTCTGGATGAAGAACATGAAGATGTGCATTTGCCAAACGCTAAACACCAATACGTTTTTGGGAAGATGAATGGTCACAATATAGTCATGGGCTGTTTACCGGACTCCCAGATGGGCACTGGTCCTGCTGCTAGTGTAGCTGCGGAAATGGGCGCGATGTTCCCCTCTTTGCGCTTTGGGCTGCTAGTTGGGGTTGGTGGAGGAGTATGGAGCGAGGATCATGATGTGCGCCTTGGCGACGTTGTCGTCAGTCGGCCGGATAAGGACAACAATAACGGTGGAGTGAGTTGATCAGCTCATGATAGAGAGTAGAGCTGACACCTGAGTAGGTCATCCAGTACGACTACGGCAAGGCGATACAGGGAGGCGAGTTCCAAGAGACGGGTATCCTCAACCTGCCACCGACAATATTGCTTTCAAGCCTCGGCAAGCTACGATCTACGCCTGCTGCTAAGAGCCAGTTCTTTCCATATCTCAAATCTTTCGAAGCATTCGACGATGATTCACCAGAATTCGCCCGCCGACCAACAGCCAAGGATCGCCTCTTCAAGCCCGAGTTTGGACATGTGAAGAAGGAAGCCACATGCCGTAACTGCGATGCTGAGCATGAAATATACCGCGAAGAGCGACTTAATGCAAGGTCAAAAGTTCATTACGGAACGATCGCCTCGGGGAATCAGGTCATGAAGGACGCCGAGAAGAGGGATACCATTGCGGAAGGCCGTGGCATTCTCTGCTTTGAGATGGAAGCCGCTGGGCTGATGAATCAGTTTCCTTGTTTAGTGGTGCGTGGCATCTGCGACTATTGCGACTCCCACAAGAACAAGGCGTGGCAGCCGTATGCAGCGGCAGCAGCAGCTGCGTGGGCCAAAGAGTTGTTGAGGAATGTATCGCCAGGAGAGCTTCGTGGTGAGAGGACTATTCAGGCGCAGGGATTGTAATGAATGGAATGTCATGAATGGATGTGTAATGATGCGCTGGCATTGCAACGAATGTCTCGATAGCCAAGCAACCGCGCGAGCAGGCGTTCGTTACCCTAGCAGAGCATAACGATATCAAATATCTCCCTTGCACAATTCTCGTCTTTCCAATGCAATCAATCCATACCAAGACAATCTAGGCCAAGGTGCTCTGCTCTGCTAGGCAATCAATCAACGCCGTGGCTAAGTAAGTTAATGCTTAGCGTGTAGATAGGCAGAGAGCCAGCCAAAAAAAAGTTCCCGATAAGGAACGACGAACGCTTGGTTTCTCGCTGCTCGCCCACCGCGGAAATTCTTTATAGGATCCCCACGCCGCGTGCCTTGTGACATGTGCGTCTGAAGACAGATTTGAGTTGTGTTGGCTCCAAAGACAAAATTGTGGAACGGCGGATGGATTCATGTGGTAGGGCGTGAGATTCATCCAGCTCACACCTACACGTACAATTCCCTCAGTACAYGCGATTCTCTCTGCTTCTTTCTGCTGACCTGTAAGATGGGATGAGAGAAGTTTGGATTTTGTGTCGTTTTGCATGTATAGAATCACCGTTTTCTCTTCACCACGCTGACAGCATGCAGAACAGACTGGTATTCCACCACCTTTTCTCATTTCAAAGAGGTTTCATCAAGGTCATGACCTACAGACATCTACAGCTCCTCCAACGATGCAGCTGGACTCCTCAAAGCCCTCAACATATTCAAGACATCCAAAATCCTTCAGCGCCGTCCCAATGTCGCTCACACACGCATGCAAGCAAGCAAGCAAACAAACAGCAACAACAACAACAACAACAACAACAACTATCCTCGCGCTCAAGCGTAAGATTTCGAATCCGTGCTGAAAGGACTCCGGACTTCGCCATCAGTGTACTGGTGAAGGATATCCTCTACACTGGCATACGTTCCACAGGCAAGAACCAAGAGTCCGATGATTAAGACGATGGCGTTGAGAATGGACATCATGATGTTGTGGCGGTCCTTGTTCCACTTGCCCTCCCTTACGAGCTGGAACCAAAAGAGCGCGGGGAAGTAGAAGGTGAAGCCGGAGATGAAGAGCGCGGAAATCAGACCGAGGAGTGCGTTGAAGAATGGGATTGCCTGTTTTGCAGTCAGTCAGCATCAATCGCACACAACGCCGTGGCGGCTTGGAAGAACTTACCTCTGCGATGACGAATGCGATGAGGGTGATGAATGTGATGAGAGCGATCCAGATACCCCAACCCTTCTTGGTGTTGATGAAGCGGATCTCGGAATTCTTGAACACGCGTCCCATGATGTACTTTCCAACGACGGTTCCATTGATGCTGCCGGAAATGAACACGACTGGGAGAGCGACGCCAAATGCGATACGTGCGACAAGAGGAGATGCTGAAAGAAGCGCGGGAGATCGGACACCGTTGCCTACGAATGCATACACCAATGCACCGGTGATGGTATAGATGAAGATCTCAATGATACCCAGAGCCCAGATGGACTTGATGTAGTCCTGAGGTCGGTGCATCTCGCTCATGAAGGAGAATTGGCAGACGGCGAAACTGTAGGCAAAGACAATGTTGGTGACGGAGAGGAAGGCCGAGTARAAGGTTGTATCTGCAGCTGGCCAGAGAGTCCAGTCCACAGCACCAAGGCCTCCTTCTCTGTTGTGGGCTTGGATGCCGGTCGAAATGATGGTAATACCAATGGCGAGGATGATGCTGACAAAGTCGATGTAGCCCAGGATAGCAAACTCGGCGAAAGTGGGAGGAAGGGCGACCAACAGCAGGATAATGGCCGATACACCTCCCCACATCAGAGCGTTGAGATCTTCCTTGCCGACAATGCTGATCCATGCAATGGTTCCGGTCAGGACGTGCGAGCCAACCAGCAACACCAGGAAGAGCACAAACATGACCGAAGTGAGATGGTACCCGAATTTGCCCCAGATGAGCTGCACGCCATCTGCATAGTCCATGACATGCGGATGCCTCAGCTTGACTTGGCCAATGACATGGCTGGTGTAGATGGCAATGAGACCCAGACCGACACAGAGAATCACACCGGGCACCATTCCGAGAGTCGCAAAGGCGGATGGAATACTGAGGGAACCAAGCGCGATGGCTTCGACGATCAGGCAGACGGTAAGGCGCTTCCAGCCCAGCTTGTGGAATTTCTGCTCGCCTTCATGGAGGGTGGTCTGTTGGGTGAGGTTCAACTCGGTATCGTAGTCGGTCTTTTCATCCTTGGTCTTGTTGTGTCCCACCGAGGAGCTTCCCTCTGAGCTGACTCTGTAGGGCTGGAGCGACATGTTGGCAGAGTTTGACAGAAGTGGATCCGGTATGTCGATCTGAGCGATGGAGGAGAGTAGCAGCAGCAGCAACAGCAGCAGCCGGGGCAGCTTCTTTTCTTGATGGAAAGTTTGATGATGGAGGAAAGCAATCACACGACCACAAGAAGGATGCGATCGGATCCAGACCACGCGCAGCAAGCAACTCGAAGGTTTAGGTTACTGGTTATCTGGGGCACAGATCCTCTGCAGGAAGAGTGAACCCTTTTGAGGGTGCGGTGGGCCTTTCCCACGTAGTGTCCGCACTTGCAGCAAAGTCTGTGTCATGATATCGGAGCGCCATACGACCGAATTGCTCCGCGAACCCACGCCAAACACGCAGACTTTCCTATCAAAGTCCTTCTGTGCTCCAATACCAATTAGGCCGTGGTAGATACGGGACGCTGGACGGAGTTACCACCGGGTGCGTTTACTTTACACCATACCCAGCTAATCACCCCGTCATTGGATGCTCTACAAACTCTGCCTGGGGTGCATCCAAGCAACGATCCTGGTTTTCACAACGATGACGTTGATCGGGAAATGTGCCAAGCAGGGAAGGATTCAAAGGACGAAGCTCGTCCCGTCGCCAACCGCAGCTTGGCCGCCTCTTTTTTCAGCAGTAGAAATCAGTCCCAGGCGTAAATGAGAGACTTCAGAAAAAACGTACCACACGAATGCAGATCTGTACCCCATTAAGCTCACGAAGCTACGTTGGCGATGCTTGTGCAAAGCCCGGCGTTCCGTCAAACAGCGATGCCTGTACGCACAAATCGATTCTGTCTCTCTTGAAATCCCTGGTTCGTCAACGTGCATTAGACTCAGAGTTGTAAATCCTCGACGTAACGTTGTAACAACCGTTGCGCCGCAGGGTTGCTTGTGCCCACACACGCACGCGCGGTTGTATTTTCGGCGCCTACAGCGTTTAGGGCGATAGACCCGAGCACGGTCTAAACGTGTTCGCGTTTGGTGGCGGCCATTTGTGCTTACTCAGAAAGCTTAAAAGTGAGTGAGAAAGATTGAGTGAAGGACAAGGGGGCCTTATTATTGTATTGTTATCGTTCTTGGCCGTGATGCAGACCTCTTGTTGGCCTAGTTGTGCGATATTGTGCATGATGCCGTGAGGCACATCCACCAGGACGAAATCCAGGTACACGAGGACAAGGTTGTCTTCACAGCCCTGGAGACTTCCCAGCATGAACCTTCTCTCTGGTGAAGTCTTGAATCCATGCTCAGCTGTTCCCTGTGTGGTGGTGCAAGTCACCAAGAATGCCCTATTGAAGCCTAGGACGGATGTACACTTCCTCTCGTGGCAAGGTCTCTTGAATAAGATTGGTCGATGAATGCTACGATTGATCACCACGAGGATTGCACAGTGAAGAAAAAGTCGACTCATCAGAGGGATTCCCGGAATAATGATATGGTATCGACTGTTGGATCCCGCAGATCGAACAGCGATCATGCCCGCAATGGACTGCATTGCACCTAATGGACCTCCATCTCCGCGTCTCGAAGTGCGAGATATGGTCATATCTCGAAACCGGCGAGCTGGCGGCTTCGACCTTGACATGTCCTGCACTATCGCAGCTATTAGGCGTTGTAGGCATTGTGTCACCTCTTWGCGTGACCCGTAGTATCCGGGTGACGACGAGGCTTTACGAAAGCTGCGTCTCGGCTTCACGCTCTGCTGATGGCCCAGTACTCCCCTGTTCTGGTGTTGCGATGAAGTTACGATGCGGATCGATCTTGTTTCAAACGCAAAGATGCAAAATAAGGTCAGCTCTTACCGGCGATCTTCAGGTAAAGAAGTCTACGATACGACGCCACATTAACGTCGCCAATGCAACATTTCCACCAGCATCAACTCACCAAAATCTGCTACAACTCCATCAACCTCAAGCGCAACAACTTCAGCTCTCGTCTCCATCGGCGTCAGCCAATCGACAGTGAACAAACTTGGCATCAGTCTAGGAGTCACCCTCGTAGTCCTACTGATAGTCAGCTGCATAGTAAATCGCATCCTGTGGCGGAGAATGCAGAATCTCCAGAAGATGCTAGATATCCAGACCAGGCCGAGGAATTTCGAGATGGGGACGCCATGAAATTGCATTATACATTCAAGGATGAAAGTCGGTCTCTGTGGTCACAGATGCCTCAGGGGTTGGAGCCGGCGGAGAGGAGTGAGGTAGCTGAGATAATGGCGCCGAGAGAGTTCGAGGGGGGAGTTGGTGGTGTTACGGTTGCTTTCAGAAGGGTGTAAAGACATTGAATGCTGTCAAATTCGCGATTTTACATGTTTTGATGCTTGAGATAGACTGTTTGAAATGATGATGCGTGAAAAAAATACCTTATGACTTGACTTGGTTATTTGTTTGCTGGACCGGAGTGTCGTTAGCTGGTGACGCATTGGAGGCTGATGCGGTATCCGACAATTGAGTATGCAGGTCTCGGACTGCAGCACACGGCCATATCGTGTAAATCTTGTTATCACCGATTCACATACCATGCTGCCTAGGTGATGGCGGTGTAAAGAAGGTGGTGAAAGATCGGTGACCGATGAAGGAGGGGCGATCTGACGGCCCGCAGATCGATGACGCCGAAGTCGCCGAGCTGCTGGGACCTGGACCACTCACTTTCTTTTCGACTCACCGAGCCAGCCATTGAACATTGAATAGACATCACCCAAAATGTCAACCTTTGGTCAATACTTCCGCGTCACCACATATGGCGAGTCGCATGGCCGTTCAGTCGGATGTATCGTCGACGGGGTCCCGCCTGGCCTTGAGCTCAGCGAAGATGACATCCAGCCGCAGATGACTCGCCGTCGTCCTGGACAGTCGGCCCTCACCACTCCCCGCGACGAGAAGGATCGGGTGGAGATCCAGTCCGGCACCGAACATGGCATCACTCTGGGCTCACCCATTGCAATGCGTGTGATGAACCAGGACCAGCGACCAAAAGACTATGGCAGCTCGACAATGGACATGTACCCAAGACCCTCGCACGCCGATTGGACGTATTTGGAGAAGTACGGCGTCAAGTCAAGCAGTGGCGGTGGGCGTAGTTCCGCCCGGGAGACAATCGGACGGGTTGCCAGTGGGGCCATTGCTGAGAAATACCTCCGCGTCGCACATGGGGTGGAGATTGTCGCCTTTACCAATTCCGTAGGCCCTGAGCATCTCTTCCCTGCAACACGAGAGCACCCCTCGGCAGCGCAGAATCCAGCATTCCTCGAATTGATCGATAAAATCACCCGGGAGGAAGTCGATGCCAACCTACCCATTCGATGCCCTGGCAAGGAGGCCGGAAAGAAGATGGAGAGTTTGATTGAGGAGTACAGAGACAAGCATGATTCCATCGGTGGCACAGTGACTTGTGTCATCAGAAATTGTCCGAGTGGGTTGGGAGAGCCGTGTTTTGACAAGTTGGAAGCAACGCTCGCACATGCAATGCTCAGCATACCCGCAACCAAGGGATTCGAAATTGGAAGTGGATTTGGAGGATGTGAAGTGCCGGGATCCATTCACAACGACCCGTTCATCAAAGCACCCAGCGAAGCAAATGTTGCACAGGGAGAGAAAAAGTTCCCACCCAGACCGCGATTGACCACCAAGACGAACAACTCTGGCGGCATTCAAGGAGGCATCTCAAATGGTGCACACGTCTACTTCACGGTGGCGTTCAAGCCTCCAGCCACAATTGGCCAGGCTCAGGSTACCGTCACCTACGACGAGTCCGAGGGTGTCTTGGAGGCAAAAGGCAGGCACGATCCTTGTGTCATCCCGCGTGCGGTCCCGATCGTGGAGAGCATGGCCGCTCTGGTCATTATGGATGCTTTGATGGCACAGTCCGCGAGACAGAGCGCCAGGTCATTGCTGCCGGTACTCGATGGGACCGTGCCGGTGTCTATGACGGCGAATAACTTGACCAGTGGAGGTGGAAAGTGAAGTTGGCCTGGAAAGCCAGAAGCGAACATGCAAAATGCGGCCGTCGAGGGCAAACAGGAGGAATTGCGCTCATGGGAAATGCTTGGGAAATGAAGGCAAAATATAGGTCACGCTGCGTTGAGCATCACCGAGTCGTACCGGAGGGGATGGTACGTGAATCCGTGGCCTGCCCTCCAATATCTTGTGGTGTTACTCGTGCTTCAGAGACTCTTGCAACTAAAGTGTGAATACATCACACGCCGGGAGTAATAATGAGTAAATCATAACAACGAGTATCAACCTGTCCGCCATTTCACGTGGTGCACACGTAAAAGCATCTCTTCCTGTCCCAAGCTTCATTCTCGTCACGCATCAATCTTCTCTTGGCAAAACCATACTCCGCATGAGGCACTCTCTCGCATTATCCCAATAAAGTCAAGCAGCATTTCATCAGCTATGTCGCATGGCGAAGTATCAAGTGGTGGTCTAACAATGTCTGCTGACACAGACTCTGAAACGCATACCGCAAAGCCGAACTCCCCGGTCCTGCAGGACCGCAGCAGCTACCGGTCTCGAGCCATCTCGACCAGTTAWGTTAAATCTCGAGCCGTGGTTTGTCTCGTCTAACAACTTGGCGAACCATGAAATGAGACACATGGTATGTGGGGATGTATGCACCACGTGCACTTGATCTGCAAGCCCATCTAAAACTCCTTGACCGTTGCAGTGGGATAAGCATCAAGGGAACCAACCACAGGAGGAGAGATGTTTCGCGTAGGCGACTCTTTTCATTCGCATGTGAGTGTTCGTACACACCGCTGATTCTAGATTAGGATTTGAGAGCGGGTCCTGTTTGCTACTGCGTGATGTACTGGTATCGGGTATCGACTGGAAGTGGGATGCATATTTCTACTGCATGTCTTGATTAATAAGAACGTGTCACACCGTCTTGAAGTGAGGATTCGACATGACTGGATCACCGATGCGAGAAGTGTTAGGAAGAGGCTAGGTTATATAGGCTGGTTGGTGCCTACGCTCTCCTTTGTTCATCACACACTTAGCTATGCCTTCGCAAATTGCTATAACTACTACTATGCCAATGGTAAGCACACTACAACCCAGAAGAGTTATGTGTTATTCAGAATCTCCACTCGAAACCATATTGAAAACAACTCATTGCTAATCTTCGGATGTAGTTTCAGGTCCTGTTAWGGCTTTTCGATCAGGGTAATGATCCTAGATCACCTTGCGATAAATTTGTCGATGAGTACGAACTGCGCTGGAAACTCATGCGTGCTCCTGCAAAAAAGCTGATTTTTCAAATAGTATTGCGGAAAGTGAATCACTTGAGCGGAAACATACTGTTAGCAAAAGCAGACATCTTTGGCCATGTCCTCGTACTATATCGAGTAAGATCTTGGCTCAGTGGAAAAATGAACTTTGAGACCTGGAGCTGATTGAGATTTGATAGTGCCGTTTTTCAGCATGTGGAGTGGCTGAAGATTTGATGTGGAGTTGGCGTCGTTGAATGGGATTTTTGATGTCGGGTGTATTGTGAGCAAAGGTTGTTCTCAATGCATGCTTCCCCCTGGGGTAGATGAGAAACAGACCGGCGAAGTCTGGCTGAGGGACACACGATGAGAGTAACGCGGACGAGTGTGGGAGGGATCGCGTTGGAAGGTGTTTGGGCATTTGGAGAGGTTGAAGGAGATTAGAAGGCGTCTGAGAAACAGTGTCCTGGAATATCAAGACAAAGCAACCACTCAGTGGTAAAGATCTTGTCGTCCATTTCGTTTTCTCTGAGTGATTCGTCGCTGGGAGTGACTTCGCTAAACAGGCAGGTGTATACATGAACTGTCGTAAACCAAACTTCAGCGGTCAGAAAATAACCAGAGCTCCAAGCCTTGGTAATTACCCACCGGACCGTCGGGTGTAGGCGTACCAGCATATGGTATCACGCACAGAAATGCTAGCTCCCAGCTCCCCCCACACAAGCCCTATCACACACCAGAACGTAGCGAGGAGGGGAAGCAAGTTCGAGCATTAAGTATCGATGAACAGCTGGAACGCGTTGAAACACCTTTCCGCACTCTCTCCCAACAAATCATTTCTTTGACTTTTTCAATAATGTCCCAAACGATTACCACCATGCCTGAAAACGAGGTGAGTATTCACTCCCCTTTACAAGCTATCAATAAATCAATCCGCCCATGACTAAATCTCCAAAAAAAAGGAAATTCTGATAATCAGCTTCGACAGCATGATTTTAATGATGAATCATTCCCGAACCATTGAAAAGTCAAGATTTCCAATCCTTTGCATAATGGAAGTTTTCTTGCACACGCTAATGCTCGCCTTCTAGAGTCCTGGTGGAGAACGGCTATGACTTGGATGAAGTTGCTAAAGATAGTGGGAATTATCTTCTTATGCGGTATGTGCTACAAACAACACGGTCACGAAAAGAATTTGAAGGAGAGAAAGGGATCTGATCTATCTATTAGGGGACTTCCTGTCGAGGCGCAGGAGAGCTTGCGGGCTTTGAGGGGCGTTCATGTTACTGCTGAGCAGGAGGATGTGGATTTTTAGTTCTACGTAACAAAGTCGTCCTGTTTGGCTGTCAAGAATCTTTCAGCGATTCCTTCAATACTCACTGACCTCGTCCACTACACTGAGATACTCCCAAGACCAAAGTCCTCAATCCCTATTCGCCGGAAAAATGCTTGCGCAAGTTAGATGGGTAAATCGACAACATCGACTCAACTTCATAGTTACAAGCATCATCAACAAGTCATAGCAGAAACTCCTCCCTCGCTATCATCAAAAAAACAAGACAGAGCAAATGCCTCGAGACCGCTTTGGCTTGGCGTCAGCTTTGTGGTTTTTTTCGTCCCAAAGAGGTAGAATTTGGTCGTGTACTTTCCTCTTTTGGTATGGCGTGGGGTCGGTCCTAGGAGCTCAAGACTGCAGACTGTGAGGCTCGTGGAACGGCACTGAATGAGGTTATCCGCCGCGGAATAACGTCGACGTCCCCTTTTGCATCTTGCATCTTGCATCTTGTTACTTGTTACTTAGTCAATAATGTGAGTTGGAGTAGAGCTATGGCGGGGAGCTGAGTTCGCAACGACATCCGTTTCGCTTCCACAGTTGGATGCATCGCATCGTAGTAGCAAATGCTAGAAGGCAAAAGATTGTATACGTCGTTTTTATGATCCGCAATCGATACGTCTGACTCTAGTTCGTCTACGAATGTAATGATATCTTTTTTCGAGATTGTTCGGTGTGTATAGTTGCGATGATCCGGCAAGCTGCTCTTGGCTCGCGATTTCGTAGGCTAGGTACTAACGAACATCCAATACAAGCTCTACTGCAAGGTAGAGTGGGGCTCTCTACATCGTGGATAGCTCTTATCTCGACTAGGTCCTTGCACAGCTGCATACGTACCATTGAACGAGAGGCTAGTCGGACAGATTTCCACGGGCGATACCATGTCAATGCTGCATGATTAGGTACTTCAAAGCATGGAGATGGATATAAAAGACCAGCTCTTCCTCTGTATAGCTGTACTTATATCTTCTGCATCAACAACTCTTCACCAAAACACCACAAACCAMCTCAGCAATCTATCATCATGATGGTATGCATCCCAGAAGCACACCCTTCCTCGCCAGGTCTCCAAATATTCCCTCATCTTGAAAAAAACCGGTTGCTGACTACTGTGACCTTAATAAGAGACTTGTCTTTGAGAATCCTTCCGTCTTCAACGAGCACAACAAAGATGTCGCAAAGTATTCTTTACATCCCGATATACCGAGCTATCTTCACATACTGAGAAATTTCCCCAGGATCCTCGAAGAGCATGGCCATTCTATAGAACGCATCATGACGCTCAAGACATTCCCACCAATTTACGTATTGCCCGAGTATGTGCCATCCAACCCTGGAGTTAGCAGCGCAGAGTTTGGGGGATGTAAACACGCTAATCGGATACTCAGGAATATGCCTCAGGAGGGTCTTGATAGCTTGAAAGCCATCGAGGGTGTACGTTTGATGGAGACATGATACCATCCGAGCCTTGGTGGAGGAGGTGTGGATAGAGAAGCTGGGGGGTATATTGTCGAGATATATCATATCGTACGGCAAGCAACTTCGATATACCTCTTCAAACTCCACGTTGCCGTAGGGACTTCGTTCAGCGCGGAGTATCTAGGTCTTGTGCGGCGAGCTACGAGCGAAGCAACCTTTCCATCATCTTCCCCTGTTTACAACCTTATCTGGCGCTCACTTTTCGGTACCATGCAAGTTAAATATCGAGGGGAAGGGCGATATCAATACATCAGGTAGCTTGAAAGTTACCCACCCTCGAAAAGTCGACGTCTGCCAAACAGCAAGCAACACTTCACGTGCGCCTTGGCATCTTGGGCGAAATATTTTCAGGTCCGACTTTGAGATCTCTGGCTCGAAACCATTCACTTTGGAGGATTCACTCACTTGATTTGTGATGATGTGGAGCCGTTTAGCAATCAGGCTAGTGAATATGTATAGGGGTTCTCATTCGCTCATCAAATAGGCAAGCAACCGAAGACAGTTCCAACATCGCAACAGACGCAACAATAATGCAATGAAGATCCCAATTATATTCGACCTACTGCGAGGATGTATACACGAGGATAGATAGATCCCCTTTATCCCCTCCGGCCGAGGCACATTCTTTCATGTCACCCATTCGAGCTGGAGTAGACCAATCACCAGAAAACCCAAGCGAGACCGCTACATTTCTTTCTGCAAAAAAACACCCAAAGACTCCAAGTCCATCCAATCAGACAGATGTCGTGAAGAAATTTCCTTTATACGCTTCTTTGTGGACCCACGTGCGTAGTGGTGGTGGCGAGGAATGCTGACCGCAAACCATCAAAGCGCAAACATACATTCCTCACCTGCGCACACCCCAGCGACGGCTTCATCCTGGAAACTCGGCCTACCGTCCAGTAGGTCGTCCACGCCCGATCAATTTTCATTTCTCCTCAGACTCGACACTGGCTGAACGATAATCCAAAAGGTCGACCATCATGTCCTGCCCCGCCCCTTTCATCAATTCCGCCGACTTCCCCCCAACAGGCGGCTGGATCCCCGGCCGCGTCTGCGGAAACCCAACTCCAGATCTCCAATGTTGCCTCCCCTGCGAAGACCACAATTGGATCTACACAAACGGTATCCATTCCCCCTCCCCCTTCAAACCTCTTCCCCACAGCTAAATCCTTCTTCTTCTTCTTCCAGCCTTCATCCGCGGCCTACGCGCCTCCTACTGGCTCCACGTCCCCTCTCTAATCTCCGTCACCCTCATCCTCCTAACCTTCGCCCTCCTCCCCTCCCGCCTCTCCCACGCCCACTACCTCTCCATAGGCCTCTGCGTATCCCTCATAATCCTCTCCCTGGCATTCATCGTCCCGCTAGCAACCACCCCGGAATTCTGCTACAATGCCATCACTCCTCGAGATCAATATTCCAGCCTGTCGTGCGCGTGGTCCGGCGCCCTCTTCATCGCTGGGACGCTCATGGCTAGTGTATGGATTCTATTGCGCAGTTTGTGGATACATTTGCAATTGTGTTGGGGAGTGTATAATGTCAGGAAACTGTACTGGTGGATTCAGATTTTCGGATGGGGTGTTCCCGCCGTCCTGTTGGCTGTTACGATGCCGGTGACGGGCGTGAGTTTTCGCTTGGGAACCATGTGTTTGCCCAATCAGAAGAATTCCTATTTGACGTATCTGGGGTGGTTGATGGCTTTTGCGTGTTTGAGTGGTTTGTTGCAGTTGTGGACAACGGGGTATTGTGTGTGGATTTATTTGAGAGATGTCATTCGAGGGGCGCCGGTTAGTACCAGGCCGCATCATGGGGGGTATACTGGGGGAGGATATCATAAATCTGCGGATGCGGAGACGATTGGGACGCAGGGGACCAAGGCCAAGGTTACGTGGAATCGATTGAAGAGGATTATGAAGAGTCAGTGGAGGAGTATTGGGTTGTGTTTGTTGTTGATTATTAACTCGGTGTTTTATGGGGGGATCTTCACCGAGCAGGCAAGGCTGACGAGGAGGATTTCGGAGGGGAAGCATGATGATCGGATTGTGGAGTGGGCGACTTGTCTTGTTGTTAATGGATTGGATCCGGATGCTTGTCGAGGGATCCCGAGTATTTTGAACGAAAAGGCTTTTCTGGCGAGCTTTGCGATGGCGGGGGTAATTGGGATGGCTTGTTCGTTGTTGTTGGTGAGGAAGAGTATGTTGGAAGGATGGGCATTTATTCTGAGGCATGGAAAGTTGCCGCCTAGGGAGGATGATGGAGCTTTCATCATTGCCAGGTCGGATACTCATCAGTTGAGGGGAGGAACCAACTCATCGAATCCGGATAAAAGTCCTGTGGTGGAACGGTTCGCTGATCGGCATACAGCGGATGAGAGTGGATTGCACAGCCCTGGATTGGATGGGCCGGGGATGAACAGTCCTGGATTACAAAGCCCTATTGGAACGGTGTATACAGCCAAAGAGCGTAGGACATCGAGTGATACTTCCATGGTGTGATTTGGGGGGAATACTGTAGTTGCGATTCGTACAGAACTATTTAATAATCACGACGCTGACGATCATTGAAAATTACACTCCCATCATGTGCTCAAACTATCGCCATGGCTCCTGAAGACCTCAATTCTGAATGAGAAGCGACATCATTCATGCAATGGTCAGACTCCGATTCGGAATAGAACAACCTCGTCATCCCGAGCACGTAGACCTTGAATTCATGAACAAATTACTCCCCTCCCACCTTAATTCTAGCCGAAGACAGGCTACGGAGGCAGCTGGAGCATCGCCTAGGCATACTAATCTCTAACCACCCCCTCTTCGTAAGGAAAAGCCTTCGACAGAAAAAGCCTTCGGTAGAAAAAGCCTTCGAAGTGCACCGTATAAGCAAACCTCCCTACATCCATCTCAAGTCCAAGATACAATAAATACTTATATCACCATCCCAAGTAGAGAAGCGAAGAACTTTCCTACTACTACCCTTAAAGCTTCCCTTCCACGAGAAAAAAAAAAACCATAGTAGCCCCTGTTAATCTATCCATCCATCCATCCATCTATCTAACCATCTATCTATCGAGTAGGGTAGTTTTTTTTCTAAGGAGTAAGAAAACATCACTCCTCTAGTCTTCTTCGATTCCTCATTTAATTTCTCATTCTGTTCCATTCTACTCTGCTCTGCTATCCATCCCCTGCTATCCTTTATTCCGTCTGTCTGTCCTATGCTGTCCTGTTCCATTCTGTCCTGTTCTGTCCCAATAGATGGAGATGATAATTTACATATCCACAAGACCAAAATGAAAAATGGAAAAAACGAAAAGACAACCTCCCATGCTTGCAAGCTTATCCGAAAAGAAAAACCGAAACTCCCGCTCCGCTCCGCTCAAAAGACAAAATCCCTCACAGTCAATCAATCAATCAATCAAAGAGATTGTGAACAGCAACAAAATAAATTCTCCTCCCACTCCCCCTCTCGCTTCCCTTTCTTCCACCATCTCACTTTCCTTCAATCAGTCAGTCCCTTCATCGTACACTCCCCTCCCCACCTCTCCTTTTCCTCTGCAATACCATTCCCCCCTGCTGCTGCTGCGGTTGAGATGCCCCAGCACTCCTCGCCCCATGAATGGGAGCATGCGTAGGAGTACCATCACCCGACCCTCCTCCTCCTCCTCTCCCGCTAGATCTCTTCCCCACTCCATACTCCCCACCACCACTCCCATCAGAAGTCGTAGTAGAAGGAGCAAGACTCAATCGACTACTCCCAGGTCTCCTCCCACCCGTCGTCGTCGTAGTCATAGGAGTTTGCTGCACTTGTAAACCCTGTTGTTGCTGTTGCTGCAAAGTAGAAGCCCGCATACTCTCCCTCCTACTTCCACTCGCGCCCCAACTGACCCCGATACCCGCAGAACTCGCCGTGCTCCCCGAACTACTATCCCGACTCCCAGGCCTCACCACAGCCCCAGAATTCCTATACGGACTAGTCCTCTCCCTCGCCGCGGCACTAACGGCACTTCCCAAATTCGGCACCAGGTCGAAATATCCCCTGCCTCCCAATCCCAATCCATTCGTAGGATTAGTACTGTTGGAAATGGAATTCGGCGTCGTCCCCGCAGGAGTGAAGCCGGCCGCCAGAGGGACCCCCAAAATCGGACTCGCCAAAGTACTACTCGAACTCCTCCTCAAGCCCATATTCGCGGCTCGTCCTGCTCCGCCCCCGCCATTACCACTATAAGAGCTGCTAGATCTGGAGTGGGAATTGTTGGAGGCGGAAATGGCAGCCGCGGCGGCAGCAGCAGCAGTGGCATACTCGCTGCTTTTGACGAGTTCATTCGCCATTTCCCGCACCAGAATTGCGGGATCACTCTTCGCGAGATCCATGACCGCGTGTAAGAGTCCATACTCTTCAAGTAAAGATCCATTGTCATTTCCTTGCAGTTCGRTGGATTCGCAGATGGAACGAATGACTCGCAGCAAATTCAATCTCACCAGAGCTTTTTTGGAATGCAATTTGACGGCGCTTCGTTCAAAGAGACTTTTGCTTGCCAGACTGGCTGCGATGGCTGGACTCAGGCGCAGTAACTTCTGCAGAGGTTCCAGCAAATTTTCAAAGGCGTCGGCTTTGCTTTCATTAAAGCAGCGGACGACTGCCTCTGCGAAACCGCTGACTTTCCCTTCCTTGTTGGAGGATGTAGAAGCGAGGAGGTGTTCTTCGACTTTGGCAGTTTCTTCTTGCAACCAGATGAAGATTGCATCCAGCGCCGTGACAGCCCAGTATTGATCTGCTAGTAGGCCGACATAAAAGGAAAGACCTCTACATTGCCAGAGAACTTTTCGACCGACTTTCCCAGAATGCGCCATGTCGCAGAGAATAGGGAGGGCGAATTCCTTGAGAGGTCTTTCGGTCTGGACGATACGCTGGAGGAGCGGGATGACTCCTGATAATGCAGCATCCTCTTGCCGTTCTTTCGACAATCGGCAGAGATTGAACATGGTGTTGAGGACCTGATTGGAGATGTCGCGAAAGTACACTGTTGGAATTCTTGTATTGGCTTGGAGGGAAGACTGTAACAAGTCGGTCAAGACTTCAATCGCGTTGCTGTTTTGGAGGGCATCCAACGTGGTGGCCAGCATGCTGAGATTTTTGATGAACTTGAGCATGGTGATTTGGTGTTGAGGAGACATTCTCCGGAGGTCCTTGAGCACACGTTTGAGAACCATCCGATCTGCCACCGTCTCCTTGACATGGTTCTCCGCTTGAGAGAAGAGTAGAAAGATGTTGACAATTCTGCCTTGGATGATCTCGCTGGCTTCGGTGTCTTCCTCATCCAAGACCCGATTCAGCACCAGCGATAGAGGATAGAGAACTGCACTACGGGAGAAGATGCGGCAGAAATCATTCTTGGGCGTGGGTCCTTGCATTTCGAAAACACTCCAGATGCCGTTGACTCCCACCAAGACCAGTTCACGTCCAGCGTCGCTATCATAGTCCTCTTCGAGAAACTCCACCAAGACATTCAGTCCACCGCAGCTGACAAACATTTGCAATGTGAGTGTCGGAGTTTGATACATCATCCTTACAAACGCCGCAGCTTCCAGACGGATATCGCTGGCGAACTTCTTGTGTGCAAACTTGGTGATGATAGGAATTCCACCGACGAAGCATAGATTTTCCTGAACCTCGATGTTGTCGATCAGAATACAATTGACAATCCTCAGCAAGCGGAAGATGATGTGTGGACGTGAAGCTGTCTCCAGAATCTCCAGGATTGGGAGCATTCCATGACTGCTGACAATCACACTCTTGACGTCGGGTGATTCTGCCAGGATTTGGAGAAGTTGCTCCACAATCTCTGCAAGGACATCCTCGTGTTGGCCTAATTTGAGATCTGTCACCAGCTCCTCCACCACACCACAAAGTCGAGCATGCTTATCTCGAGCGACATTCGACTCCAGATCCACCTCGTCCAGTTCTTCTTCAAGTGCCGCAAAGGGATCGTCGTCGTCATCTTCATCGTCACCCCAAGATATTGAATTGCTCAGCTTAAGAGTCCCTCTCCCTGAACTTGCCGACTCACTCCCCATAGACGTCGCGTACTTTGGTGATCTCGAAACGACTTGAACTTGTGGCGGTTGTTCATCAAAAAGCAATTCTGTAAAGTCCTCGTCATCTTCGTCTTCGGCATACTTTTGAATCTCAAGAGAGCTCCTAGTCCTTCGCATGGCCGCCGCATCATGAACCATCTGTGTCGGTGTATGTGTTCTTCTCCGTGACATGCTTCCACCGATTTTGGTCTGAATGGATTGCAAATCGCCCGGCCGATACTGTCGATTGGGAGAGAATCCAGCGACCTTTTCGAGAAAAGCGACTTCGTCGTTGGGGACGAGATCCGAGTAGTCTTCATCATCTTCCTCGCGGAAACGATCCCGGCCAAATGATGTGGGGTGGCTCACAGACTTTGCAGGCTGGGCTGGAGGTCCAGTAGGCTTCCCAGCAGGCTTGAGGATCTGTGTCCTGGGTTGCGAGTTCTTCCGCCCGTGAGTGTAATCCTCGTCTTCAGCACTTGAAGATGGTCGTCTCGCAGCTCTGGGCGGTGGTTGATGTCTGATTTCATCCTCTGTAGTTTTAGGTGGATAGAAAGGTCTCACCGTTTGCAGACCATCACCTCTTGATATCTCCAACGGGGAGCGGACGGTCAAATCACCTTCAAACTCCTCATCCCACTCTTCCACCTTTCCATCCATTTCCGGAATGGAATCAAAGTTGGCATACTGCTTCAACTTCTCCGAACTAAGAGCGCCTTTGAAGTGATCCTGCGGGCGAAGATGTTCGGGAATCTTCAATCCGAGCCCATCTACTCCCGCAGCCAGTGACTCAAAGTCGGAATCCCAGTTGTCTCCTCTTTCCACGTCGATGGGAGATTGAAAAGACTCTTGTGCTTGTGCAGCCAGAGATCGCCTTTGTCCCAGTCGAAAAGCAGGCTTTGGTGTTGGTGGAGCAGTAGGCTTGCCCAGTGCCGCAGTGACGGGTGTACTCCGTCCGCCCGACTTGCCAAGAGTTCCACTTGCGGAACTCCTCGAGCCAGGTCTGAGATTCGCCGCACCGGATTTGGCATCGTGTCTGGAGGATGGACGGGATGTAGGCTTGGTGGAGATTCTCCGACTACCACCTGCACTGGCTTCCGTCGTTCGCGGCGGACTGGCCTTGAGCGCCTCATTCCATTGCTGTACACTCTTGACAGCTTGATCATACTCCACTCCCACCTCTTCCTTCTTCTCCCTTGCACCCTTTTTGACGGCACCAGCGATCCATGGATGGCGTAGAAGCTTCTTCGCACTGACCCTCAAATTGGGATCTTTTTGAAAACATTGCATCAAGAAATCTCGCACCGTCGGACTGGCACCTTCTGGGAGGGGTGGGTGGTCGTCATTTACAATTCGAAACAGTGCCGGCATAGGAGCGAATTTGTGGTAGGGTGGTTTTCCATCCAAGAGTTCAATCACGGTACATCCCAGTGACCAGATGTCGGAAGCGGTGGTGGCACCCGCCAGTTCAATCACTTCAGGCGCCATCCAGTAGGGTGTTCCCACGACGGTTCCATCCGAAGCGCCCTGTCCCGATGGAGTGGAGTGGGTCGCCACACCAAAGTCGGCCAATTTCACCAGGCCTTCCTTGGTGGTGAGGATGTTGGCGCCTTTGATATCGCGATGGATGACTCCCTGTTCGTGGAGGAAGAGGAGGCCATGCAGAACCTGTGCAATGTACAACGCCACGAGGTTTTCGGGAAACTTGCCAAAGTTTTTGCAAATCTGATGGAGCGAGCCCTGTTCGCAGTACTCGAGGATGATGTACAAACTGTCGGCGGATTTGACAAAACCATGGTATTTGACGATATTCGGATGGTGTAGGTTCTTCAGCAGGTCGATTTCCTGCATGATGACATTGAGCTCGCTTTTGGGGAGATGGGAGAAGAGGATCTGCTTGATGGCCACTGTCTCGCCCGTCGACCAGTTGAGGGCGCAGTAGACGCTGCCAAATGCTCCCCGGCCGAGGATTTGACCCAGTTGCTGTGGGTGACACATGTTAGCATGTCTCGTGTCGTATCGTCTCGTCTCGTCTCACTCGCCCGGCACCTCACGTACATAATCCTTCAATCCCTCGACCTCCTTCGCGTGTCTCTGCGCAGTGCCATCTTTGCTGGGCTGCTTTTCGCTCTCCCTCTCCCGCCGTACGAGCGATGTGCCTGTACCTGTGCCTGTGCTGGATCCTGCCACCGATTCTCKCCGTCCCGCTCTTGCATTGCCATGTCCATTGATCTGTGTCTGTCCCTGCCCACCTTCTCGCTCCCCGCTACCGCGAACCTTGGCGCTCCGCAATCCCGCCGGCGTGGTAGTGGATCCCGCTGCGCGTCCCTGGGAGGTCTTCGGGGYGGAATACGTCGGCGTGGCTGTGGAAGGTCGGGTGGATCGAGCAGGCGCGGCGCGGGAATGGACCGTCGGCGGCGAGGGCGAAGGCAAGGCGGGCATCTTCCTTCCTGGAATGGATTGATTGACTGATTGCCCCGATGAATGGGGTCCAGAAGCAGACCGGCTCTGCTATCGATCGTGTAGAGTCGGCATGGACATGGACATTTTCCACACTTTGGCTGGCCAGCTTCTCACTTCCGCGGTTCAGCCTCCGTCAGGTTGGGCAGCAAGCGCGCGAGCAGAGTGGAAAAATGAGGCGGAGCGAGGATTGACGATGATGTCGGAGGTGCCGAGCGAGCTGAACGGCCTCTTTGCACCCACACCCACAGCAGGAGCACATCAGGTCGATCGGCGGGGAGGTGATATTTTTATTTCACAYCCATCCATAGCCTTTTCATCGTCTACGGGTGATGTTTGACACTACGCGCACGATTCATGCCTGCCTACCTATAGCACGTCCTGGTCTATCTTATCTCACCATCCCCGGAGCACAATCCTCCCAGCAGCGTGACACCAGCACGCTGCGTCGTCTGCAACGGGGCATTGCAGCATGCACTCCTCTTGTTGGAGGTGGAATCATGCAATTCTCGCCCATTCATTTCCCCCAGTTTGATCGTCCAGACCAACAACAAAGGCGCACAGACATGGACATGAAATTGGGCCCTCGAGTTGACAAAACCGGGTTTCGTTCACGATGTCGTAAACGCGACAGGGATCATGAGCGTTCAATTCGGTCAAATCGTGGAGAGAGGTGCCATGCCAATCTCGTACATCTATCCGAGCCGCATATCCAGGAGTCAACTCCGCCACCAATATCTGACCCTGACATTGACTGACTCTTCCTTCCAACGTCACCTCACTCCCATCATTTCAGTGTCGGTGGTTTCTTGATGTAATGGCTGGTAGACGACTTGGATGGCGAGAGCAGTATCATCGAGACCTCGATGAGATGAGGATCTGGAGTACTATAGGTACATGCCCAACGGGACACTACCAACCAGCCACCCACCTTCCCAGAACGACAACCCAGATCAGCCACGACTCTTCTAGAAGTTGATCGAAGAGAATTCGACACCCAATTAAGATATCATGCATAATCTGCGCCATCCCTGCCAATCATGATGAACCGGCGGGGTGGAGGAATATCATCCTTGTTCATGCTTATCCAAATCAGCCCTGAAAGGCAACCGCTACGAATGTCTGGATGTTCAATTATCTGTGACGTGGCAAGGTCACTCTATGATAATGTAAGCGTCTCTAGTATGTGCGAAGACAATGGATTTTCATTGCAATCTCGTACTAGCAACCTGCACTTTCTAGTGAATCCTCACCCTCAAAGCCTTCCGAGCACAGATGGCTTTGTCAACTCAGGACTCTCATTTTTGAACGCCCAACTCCAGCTCAGCCGTTGCCGGAAGAAGACCGCTTCTCAGAAACTTCCAGCTCGTCAACGTACTGCTCCAACGCACCGCGAATCCTAGCCAAAAGCGTCGCCTTGCCCTCCTCGTATTTCCGCATTCTGCAGCGAGGTAGCAGCTGAACCGTGCAACACGCTTCGCGCTCCCAATCGTCCATGGCGACTTTCATGCGCTTTCTCATCTCGACATTGGCAGCCCAGACAATCTGCAAGCCTTTCTTCGGGGTCCTCGTTCAACTCAAGGAGTTCCTGATTAGCGTTATGGCCGAAGCTCACGCGTCGAACGGCCCTCTCCGCGCAATCGGGAATGTACGACCTGGATGGGACCACTGCCTTGAATTGTCCATGCTGTGCACCAGCCATGTCGATGACGTAGCCCTCAGAAGCTTCTGAATCTCCTCCTAGTACAACCTCAATAACTTCGTGATCGAACGTTTCCTGGTCGAGTCCCCAGTCATAGTAGCGATGGACCGTGAGACACTCGGGGTCAACAGTCACAGTCAGTTCGCATGGATTGGTAACCAGACCTACATTCTTTGTCAGCTTTGGAACACGATGACATATCATCCACCCAGCACAATAGACTTACCTTCCAAAAGTCTCTTGCTAAGCTCAAACATATGCGTCTGAGCATCAGTACAAGCAATAAAAGATAAAATCTTAACCTTATCCCTTGAATCCGGAATCAAATGATCAGGAAAGCGATAAAGAGTCACGCCAGAATCATACTCCCGCTCCCGATAACACAAAATCCCCTCCTCATTCTTCCACACCGACTCGATATTAATATCAAAAGCCACTTCTCTCCAAATATAGAATGCAGCCTGCAGAATCTCTCCCGCGCGGTAGAGAGCTTTACGATTATTTTTCAATTTGCAAATCCCTGCGTGGTTCGAGTCGTCGCCGTCGCGACATCTCGTGCCGCAGTAATTCGTGAGAGAAATCTTTCCGTCACTGTCGGTGCCTTCGCTGCAATTGAAGCAGATGAGGAGTGGTTGAGGTGCTTCGCGGGAGCAGACGGAGCAGATGGGTTGAGTGGCGGTGGTGGTCTCCATGGTGGTGATGAAGTTTTCCGATGGAGCTTTGAGGATGAAGCTTCAGGGTGTGTTTCTCGGTGTCGAGGATGAGCGCTTGTAAGCGGGGCACTGTTTGCTGCGCGGGCAAGGAATTGTTTGCTGCGTTTGTGATGGAGTGGTCCTTGCTGAGGTCTGTTGACACACCTGGCGAGATCTTACTACTTGATTGTGAAGAAAAGGAAGCTGATTTTGGGGGAAGAAGAACAAAAATGCGCTTTTCTTGTCATTTTRCTCGCAGTTGAAGGGAGGACAGTATAGTTAGTCTACAGCGGTGGGATCCCGGAAAGCAGTACAGGAGAATATGACACGGCGAAGCTTGCATACATCTATCGACGTTGCTTCACAGGAAGTGATGTGCCTCATCAAGCTGGCTTCCCCCTGGACTGACTTAGTCGTAGCGGCAAGCCCGTGATCGCTCCAGATGGTTGAGACTGTGAGTGCAGCATCCAAGTACATACAGGTAGCGACATCAGCAGTTTCGAGATGAATTGTGAACGGGCCTAGAGTCAAACACAACCATACCCAAGCCTTTATAATCCTCAGCCGGAAGAATTCTATTCCGAAAATCAAAGTGAATGTTATAATGAATTCTGTCCAATCAGTCGCGCTGAAACTCCAAGGATGTTTGAGCGGTATTTTCGACTCAACATAGTGTTTGAATCGCGATATGATAAAGTGGAAGAAAAATCGCCAAAAATCACGATACACATTAAATCAAAAGGTTTACACTTGCATTGCGAGGAAAAGAATGCAGTGAAGCCCTAGCGCTATCTCGGTACCACGGTTCTGCAATTCCTCATCACATCAAAGTTGAATTCAAAGATTGAGTCAAAATGAATCACTTTCAATCGTTTCGCTCGTGCACGGACCCAGCAAATTACGTGGTTGCAGCCTGCTGCCGCCTAATAACGTCACCTGTACGGTTTTGAGGAATACTTGGTATATATGTAGGGACTCTCGGGTGCTTTTTGACATGAGATATTCTTTTTGTACATACACTTCGAGTGGTCACTTAACAGAACATGGGAGACTGGGAAATTTATTGCGCTATTTGTGCTGCTGGTTTTGCTGTTCCCATTTACGACGATGACGACTACCCAGGTGATGGGAATAATGATGAGGTCGAGTCTGGAGATGATGATCATGAAGAAGAAGATGGGGATGCGGAGATGGATGATGCAGAAGACGATGACGGAGCAGATGATATAGCTGATGACGACAATGCAGCAAATGATGCTGCCGAAGCTGACGAGGATACTGCTACCGAGGACAACGGCGCAGCAGACCAGCAAGAGACTGAAGATGACCCAGAAGAAGACGATGCTGCAATTCGTCGCGTCAAGAATTTGTTTCCAAAGGAGATTGCCGTTCAACGCCTCCAATGGCTCAAGAAGTTCCGCACTATTGGCCAAAATCCACATGCATCAGGCTTAACGCAATGCTACTTGACGGGCCCAGCCGTACAACATGAGTTCGGCGAAGCCGGCATCCAACGGGGCGACCATCCAAACGCACAGACGCTTGAAGAAGATGCCGTCAGCTGCTACCGCAAAGACGATGAAGAGACTGGAGATCTACCAGTCCATGATAGCTGCTTCACCATCCTTTGCAGAGTCTTTGCTCGAGCCCGGGGGATTGATTTCGAGTGGAAACCTGATGAAACCAATGCAGAGTTTCCGTTCGAACTTGACTCGCTGTTCTCGTGTCTTGCGAGCACTCGTGGAGAGTACGAATGCTTTCTTCAATTGGATCATGGATTCGAACCCGAGCAATACTTTGGCCTGGAATGGGAACGTATAGTGAGTCGTATCTTGAACTACTGTTTGCACCTCGCTGATGATCAAAGTACGACTTTTTCGATCCTCTAGAAAGCGTGGATTTGGAATCGCTCACCAGAGATGCAACCACCACCAAGTCTACCACAGCTACTTCAAGCTCCGGCTCTAATGACCTTYTGGATGTTTTACCGAATGAGCTGCACGCCAAAATTCTGGACCTAACTCCCCAAGAAGACTTGGTACCCTTTATGAAGGCTTCAGGCACAATCCGTCGGATTACCGAGCCAGAAAAGTTCTGGAAGCATCGCTTACAACTAGACGCCCCATGGCTATGGGAAATGAAGAACGATGACACTCGCAATTGGAAGGAGCGCTACAACGCCGTCATGATGCAGGCGTTCAAACCCATGCGAGAAGCTGAAAAGGGATCGCACGTATCTGGTCTTGCGAATCGAAAGCGTATCTGGCACGTCTGCGAGCAAATCTTACAGCTGTATCAGGAGAGCGGTGCTTCTCTTCGTCCACAGCAGACCACCTCGGAGTTTGAAGATGGTGTTGTCGGTCGTTATCTACCGATTGTAGCCACCCAGAAAGAGTCAAAGTTCAGAGGTGAGACTGCCTTCTTCTTTGACAAGGCAAGCGATATGCATTCAGCGAAGCAGCTCAGGCTCAAATGGACTGAATCGGGTGCTCTTTGTGGTATCCAAGTGAGCACAGATTGTGGAACGGCCACTCTCGGAGCCGGAGACAGCTCATCAGGCACCGAGAGTGTTCTGGATATGACTGCAGACGATTGGATTGAGAAGCTGGTCCTTAACATCTCTCTCGTCGAAGAGAAACATCAGCGGATCGCGGTCACCGGCGTTACCATCTGGCAACTCTCCCAAGCCGTGACTGTCCTCGGCAGTGACAAAGGCTATAAACGTCTACTCGAGCCTCTACCAGGCAATGGCATCGTTGGGCTGAAGACCCAATTTGCAGAGGGAATTATTACACATCTCGGACTCCTTGAACATCCTGCGGGTCTGACGAAGCTACGATCAGCAATTGACAACAAAATCTCCAAACTCTTGTGGAAACATCACCTACCATCGACCGATCTGCGCTTCAAGGACTATCACTTTGGATATTGGACATGCGACACCAAATGGGACCTGACACCAATGGAAACTCTGATCTTCGGCTCCACAGATGCCGAGCAATCGACCATGACAGGTATAGGAGCTACAGCAGATCTCGGATATTTCGAAATCCATCGATCAAATGGTTCGAGTGCGCGAGTTGGCCAGCGCGATGGGCCAATCAAGGTTTTCCCTATCGATGGTCCCGGAGGAGAGCGCATCGATGGGCTGGAAATAATCGTCGGTCCTCTTCCCGTCGGTCTTACTCTCGTGACGACACATGGGCGACGAGGAGTTTTCGGTAAGAGATATGATAATAACAGACATGTCGAAACATCTGAGCATGGTCATGGTGTTGCTGGACTGTATTGTAGTTTCGGCTACAATTCTACTGGCAAGGATCGTCTGAGTTCTTTGGGTCTTGTGTTATCGCCGCATATTGACAGACCACCGATGAACCACCCTCTACCGGCAGAAACGAATAATCTCATATGGGAACCCAAAGCTCCCCCACCATCTTGGCATGCAGTGGGAAAATTGTACGGTCCAAAGCATCAAGGAGAGATTTCCGTGCTCATTGATCTTTCCCGACCCATCAAGAAAATCGAAGGTTTATTCCCAGCTCCGAATTGGCTGGACGAAATTGAAATTGGTGGATTTACAATCCACTACAGCGATCATAATCCTCTGGAGCAGTCTACTCACCTGGGATTCCCGCCAAAGCAATGGCCTACATCAGATACTGCATCGTCCAAGGATCTGGCGAAGATGGAACGACATCCTGGAATGGCAATAGGATCATGGGGAGAGACAGATACCGGGAAATCCCACGTCTCCACTGACGAAGAGGCGCTGCATCAGCCCACAACCTGGGATCTGGGAGATGATGGCGACACGATAGATTCCGTCAGCGTTTGGGCCGGAGAGTATCTCCATGGTCTCCAATTCCATTCAAAAGGCGGCGAAGACAGTCCTCGATGGGGCAAATGCGGAGGCGAGCCTGCGGGGAGAATTAAAGCTGGAGGCGAGGAGCGTATTGTCGGTCTGAAGATTATTCTGGGCTCGCAAAGATTGGGGTTCACGGCTCCGGCCATGTCGCCGCTGGCTATACAGGGTATGAGTGATGCGCCGCTGTGAGAAATCTTTTTGCCTTGGCCGTCAATTCTCTCTAGGTAGACCCTTCCACTCATCTGCTTAAGATCTCTCAAGGTGGAGAGCAGCCGTGTTCCGAGAACAGGCCAGGTCCCTCAAACGAATGGAATTCTTACCAAGAGATTTCTGTCCCTTCTCCATTTACTCGCAAGACTCTTCTCACTCACTCGYAAAAATCAACGAAGCTGGTCGCAAGTGAATGAGATGCTTTGAGACAACTGCCTACAGATGCTTGAGATGTCTTGYGTTGTCTCGTCGCCATAATTCAAACGAACTTCGAACAGTACCTAGGTCATTGGAGCCAGAATTTCTTGTTGCCGGGAAGCTTTCCCTCAACATTGGCAATGAATAACCGATTGAATCGATCACCTAAGTCACAATAGGACATTCTTTCTTCCACCAAGACCCGTATACGAAGTCCAAGCTTCTTTGTCATATTTTCTCCCCGATTCACCTCCCTAATAGGTCCGGAAAGAACATCCACAACTCTCAGTGCTCCTCCTCGTGAACTCTGCAAAGCTGCATTGTAGATGAACAGTGTAGATGTGCTTAGTAGAATAGACAATGTTGAAGCAACGGGAGAGTACCGGTATTTCCCTCGATGTGTTGTATAAACGAACTCCTGATATATACTCGGCATGATCTCCGCATCTCAACGTCTGATTGCATGATATGGAACAGCGGGATGGATCCCGCGGAAAGCGTTTCAGCTCCTTCCGACGCTGATCGTCTTGGCTGTACCGCCGAATTCCAATCATTAGCGAGAAAAAGAGAGGGAGAGAGAGAGCGTATGTACGACCAGAGGTTGGACCTCGACAGGCCGTTGGATGCGAAGACGGTATTGTTGATAGTAGATCCCAGACAACTTTGCCTTGGCCTCRCTCAAGACGTGGAGTTGATTTGTATAAGAAGAACAAAGTCTGCCGACATCATTTTCTGGATCGGCCTCTGATGATCTCTCCTTCCTTTCCTTCGGTCTCGGACATCTCTCCTTGTACAATCTCCAATCTCATCGTATTCCCTACTAGGAACTTCCCTCCCTCATTCCATCAAACTCCAGAAAGAAGAAACCCCCCCCCAAACCATCCTCCCAACGAGTCCACCATTTCAAGCAGGAGAACACGTCCCCCTCCCATCCGTAAAAGTAGATTTACAAAAATCCATAATAGCTCGAATATTACTATCCTCGCAGTGTATAGGCTCTTTAAAAGCCAGAAATTCAGCTTGTGGATCCTTTTGAAGCAAATAAGAGTATTTTTTGAAAATCTTGGTGGAGATGACTGATTCCGGCGTGGTTCTTGATTGGCATTGAATGTAGGCGCCTGAGAGTCCGGGATCCACGATTCTCATTACTGCTTGAGTCGTGCTGAGGAGGGAGAGGGTGGAGAAGAGGATGTGGTGGAGATGCATTGAGGTGGGAGGGTGATGGGGTCGATGGGAGGTTGATGGAGTTGATGGAAGGCTGATGGAGTTGATGGACTTGATGAGGTTGACGGAGTCGATGGATTCATCACCTAAACACGCGTGAAATATTCTCGGCTTTTACTGCGAGTGATGATCAACCCCACAAGACAATCATCCCTTGTTTCACGTGGCTGGTACAGGACAACGTCCGGGAGGCAGTGAAGTCCCCCCGGACGCCGATCCTTCTGGTGGAACGAGGCGGATGATTCCCAAAGGAAGTGCTTTCTACGTAGCGCAAGCTTTTTACATTATTCGATAGATCCTGTATCTGCTATGTACATCTTGATAAATTCTAGAAATATATCGCCCATAACATTGGCACTAACATGCAGTGAACTCGCCGCCATTCGACACCATGCCCGAAAAATGGTTGCTTTTACAAGACACCCGTTGTCCCAAAGACCACCGTGAACAGCATCTCCAGCACCACGATCTTGGATTATGCGCATGACCTCTGTTATCGCCGAAGCTTCATCTGCAAGTCTATCCAAAAGTCAATGTAAGTTTTGAACTGCCAAGGCGCATGTGATTACCTAGCGTCGGACTAGCAGCGTCTTGAATGCTCCTCGTCCCGCACTCGGTAGTGACAAAAGAGCCGATCCCAATGGTACATCCACACGAAAATTCATCTGCGCAAAGGGCCGGTTCCAGTGACTCGAATTTGAAGAAGAGTTGTCATCATGTCCCAGCGGATCAGTAAAAATTTACCCAGAGCTCGACAAAGTCTACCATTGACGTAGGAAGTTGCTCATTGCCAAGCACTCACACTTTGCAGATTTGAAGGTCACACTAAGAGGCTTGCTATCTGGCTTCGGCAATATCAGATATCGTCCTTTGGGTGTAGACATTCCTGCGATCTCCACGCACAGCCTAGCACAGCCACGAGGCACGTCGGCCCACAGCGGAACAAGAGTGAAAGATCGAACTCTAGTATTTAAACATCCTCTCAACCACACCCAACATCCGCCAGCAGCCGACAGCACACGTGTCCCGCACAGCAAATCCAAATTCCTTCCTTAAAGCCTTCTCTCCGCTCTCCGGACTTCCCCTCTTCAACACTCACCAACCTCCACCAACAAGACAAAATGCCTTCAATCGTACGYAGTACGATTCACTTCCTCTTGATCTTTGCAAGCCTTCGTGCCGCCTCCTACGTCTCCTCCACCTTTCAAATCCCACTCTCCGAGAATGCCTCGATGAGCAAAGTCCAACCCACCTCAAACCTCTCGGACAGACCCCCCAACTGGGAGCACCCTTCAACGACAGCAGTCGACATCGAAGACATGCATCACATCCACGGAAGTTTCGACGTCGCYGAGATATTGAGACTGATGAAGAGTGGTGTTCAATACTTCTCCATCCCAAAGTCATCCGTTAAGGACGTCGTTCTTGAACTCGATGTTAAACTTACTGCCCCGCAGAAATTGGTTGACGAGGCGGGCGGGGAAGAAGCTTTTTTTAATACCTTGGGGATGTCCCTGGAGATGGAAGATTGCGAAGTGGTCGGAAAAGACGGAGGATCAATCTGCCTCTATGACGTGGTCCTTGCGGCCCCCGAGGAAGTGGAACCAGAGAAGGACGGAGCACATGTCCGTGATTTTGCCTTGCATAGAATGTTTCCGGATCAGCGCAGCTATAGAATGATCGCAAAGAGTGGGGGATCATTCTGGTATGAAGTGCTTCTCCCGGACTATGGCCCCGAGGAAGGGAAGGAGGAAGGGAAGGAGGATGCGAAAGAAGCCCTTGCCGTTGCCTCGAAAGAAAAGACAGATACTCATYCCTCCGGCAATATCGCTCTCCTCGAACTTGTCTTTGTCGACCACGCAGGAAAGCGGCACCCCGGACCCCGCCGATCGTTCTGCCTTGAAACTTGGTCAAAGAAACTCTGCTACGAACATGACACGCAGACCATCTCTATAGATGAAAAGGAAGACATAATCCAACAAGAAATCGAGCAGGAAGAWAAGATGCAACGAGAAAAAGTTCAACAGGAAATCCAACACGAAATCGAGCAAGAAGAAAAGGGCCAACAAGAAATTCTCCAACAAGAAATTCTCCAACGACAAAATTTGGACCAGCTTACAGAGGAACTGGGCCGAGAACTGCAACATTTCCTCATCGATAAGCAAATCACCTTCTACCGAAAAGACAGCGAGAAGGATGATGACAACAACGAGGAGCAAGGGGAAGAATTTCCCAGTGCGAATGGATCCTGGATGTACTCGATCTCAGATAGAGATGATCTTCCCCAAGAAGCAAAAGTAGTACCGAGGTATTAGGAGGTGCAGAGGGTCCTTGGTAATCTCTTTCTTTCGAGGGAGGGAAAACGTAGTGAGTGGGTGAGTGAGTGAGTGAGTGGGAGTGGTTGGTAGAAAACTCGGTCTAGGTAGCTAGCTAGCTCTCCATACTTTCTCTTTTCTCTAGCCGTGCACCCGGAATTGATTCTGTAGAGCCTGCCTATCAATGAACATCAAGGGCTGAGGTACTTGAACCATTTTTCTCCACAGCATCGATAACTCATGAACCTCCCCTATCTATCCGGGTAATGCAGGGAGAGAGATCTCATGTGTGCTAAACATAAACTATATACTTGCTTCTCTCACCTTCCCTAGCTTCTGTTTGATATGTTGATGTCTACTAACTACCTGCAGACCCTTTTACTTCTTTTTGCATGGAGTGAACGTCCGGCGAAAATCTCAGGATCTCCGGGCATGTGGATCTTCTTTTTATAACGCGAGAGGTCTACTTACTTATGATTCGATCTTATTTTTACCCTGCTTTGCTGATGTTATGATACTTGGCTACATCACAAAAGGCATTTATAAAGAATAGGGATTTGATCTGCAGTGGCGTAAAGAGAAAGCTGTAGAGATTCAACAATTCATCAAAGTCTCATCTCCCCAACGCATCCTCAAGATAACACCACTCAAAACACCAACTCCAACTTCTCCTCCGGCTCCGTCGGTCTCCCCACAACAACAAACGCCTTCAACCCCTTCAAATCCATGACGATATTAAACAAAGTCTCATCCGTACTATCCCCCTCTCTCTTCCTACAAATACTCTTAGGAAACCCCCCCTCATCCTTAAAAACCTCCAGAATCCCCTCATAAGAAACCTCCCCACCATGCTCCTCTTGCAACCGATCAACCAACTCCTCAATTCTCTTAGTCCTATACCTCGACCCCTCCAACCACGCCTCGTCCTCCTTAACCCCCTCCGCCGGACTTCTCAAATAATGATTAGCATGAAACACCCTCCCTTTCCCATCCATCTCAATCTTCTCCCATCCCTTAAAACTCCACTCCACACCCACCCCACCCTCGCGATCCGCAATCAACATATGACAAGCACTAGCAACCCCACCAAACCCTTCCAAACGCTTCAAAGCATCCTCTCGACTCGCACTCTCCAACACAACACGCAATCCCAAATGACATGGCAATTTCCGAAAATCCACCCCGGAAGCTCGGATGGCGTTTAAACATACCCCGACACCATATTCATTCATTCCAATTTTTCCAATAATCCCCGCTTCAGTAATCATCATAATTCGAGGTTTTCCCGGCTGTGTAATACTCAACTGTACCAAATTCCTCTTTTGCAAAGGATTCCAATCCCAATTCTGCGACAACCACGAAACATCCCCCTTCCCCCCTTCAGAACCAAAAGTCGAGAAAGCAGTACACCCATCCGAAAACATCCCAAAAGCAACCTCAGTTCTAACATTCAAAGCCAAAATATCCTCAACCCCCAAATCCGTCCCATCAGCAATCCCTCTCATTTCCTGCATCAATTCAGGCCATTTCTCTTGAATGACGGGTAAGAAATCCCGCATCGCGAGTCCTTGGACGGCTTCCCAGGAAAGATTACAGTTGCGTTGGAAGAGGTCTGCGTAGAACATTATGGAGCGGGAGATTTGAACGCGGGCTTCTTGGCCGTGTTGGAGGCCGATCTGGGAAGATGTTATTTATTTGTTTTACTTTACTTTCGCTATGCTATGTATGGCATGGATTGTGGATTGTGGAAGGTATTGTTATCAAGGTATTGTTATCTGGAAAATGTGACTGACCTCGTATGGCGTGCCTGAGCATTCGATACGGAGCATTTTGGGCATCGTGGGCGAAACTTTGCTTGCGTCTGGGTTTGATGCAGTCGAGATTGTTGTCTTATTCAGGAAGTGGTTCTTATTACTCTGGTGGAGGGTGGTTGTTTCTGGACGTGGAAGTCGTARTGGTAATGTTGATTGTCAAAGGTGGAGTGGGGTGGAGAGTGATGTCAAGGTTGTCAACCGAGGTGGGGCAAAGTGAAGCTCTGACTCGGGGGTTTTTCACATGACAACCTCTCAACTAGGTATAATAGGAAAAGCGAGGGGAGCCTTTGCAGCCAAATGATTCTGTCGTCTTGGAGTAAAATTCGCTTCATGGAACCACAATCCCGGGAAAAAACCCTCGCAATGCAATCATCCCTTTAAAAAACGCAACGGAAAAGAACATGCCCACTGTCTCTCAAGTTTCAAGGTCAACGCACTAATCCAACTTCCAATGCCCCGTCAAACCATCATCCCCCTTGCCCATCCACAACTCCACAGCATAAAGGGCCATGGTGCCGGCTAGGTTGGCCCACCGAGAAATATTGCCTCCTCCCTCTCCACCCTGACTCGTCCACCATTCTCCCGGGTGGTCAGCGGAACTGCTGGCAAAATGTTGCATCAGCAGACTGGTGTAGACGGCGATTAATAYTGATGGAGCGTAGTATGCCAGAACTCCCATGATGGTGGACACCGACTCTGCGGCATCATCAGCCGCGGAAGGGTCTTCGGAAAAGGCTCGTGCTCCACTCTCCCGAACCGCGGGAATGATGCGGGCGGCGGCGTAGAGGACGATGAGGCGGTAGATGAGGGAGATGATGACCGAGGGAGTGACGGTTTGGATTGCGGCGGAGATGAAGCCGAACGCGGAGTGGAGTACCGAGGGGAGGGATGCTAGAGCATGGAGCATGGTGGTGTAGCTTGCCATGAGGATAGGAGGTAGTGGTGGGTAGTCTCCGGTGTTGTTGACGATGGATTCTGCAGCGGGGAGGGGATTTGAGGGTTGGTAGTCGGTGAAGATTTGGTAGATGCAGAGGGTGACGTAGGCGAAGAGGAGGGAGGATTCGACGACGTTGCCCCTACCGGAAGAGATGCCCCAGATGGCGAGGAAAAAGGCGGAAGCGATGGCGATTCCTATGAGGATGGCGTCTTGGGTGTCCAGGGCGGGGAAGGTGGTCATGCGGTAGATGAAGTAACCCGAACCCGCGATGATGGAACCGGAAGGAACGATCAAGCCAATCATCCACTGGTCACCGCCGTCTCCGTTGTTGACCAGATATCGAGTGACTTGGCCGGCGGCTTGGATGACCAGCAAGGAGCAGAATCCCTCCACCAGCTGGAAGATGGGCGTGCTGTAGCGGAGAAGTTTGTCCCAGCCGCCGATCAACAGGTGGTCTATCCCACCATCCCTCCCAAACACCCATTCATTGAAGGTGGGAATGTATTTCTCCGCCGTGCCGACAACACCTGCGTCGACGCTGAATTTGTTCAGCGTCCAGATGAGGAGGGTGGGGATGACCAAGACCTGTAGGCCTGAGATGGTGTTGACGAGGCCGCGTCGCAGGGTCGATCGATCGGGAGTCGCGAGTCGGAGGGTGCTGAGGGTAAAGTAGAAGATGGCCAGGCTGAGACTGAAGGCAAGTCCACACCTCCTCCCCCCAACATCGAAGGCGAGGGGAATGGTGAAGATGATGGTGGCCAGGAAGATGGCGCTACCCGTCGCGCGCAGGAACATGTTGGCCATGGCGGGTGGTCTTCCTAGAATGAGGTATCGAAGTGGTGATGTCCAGGTTCCTTCCACTCCGCTCGCTTGATTATCCTCGTGCGTCGTCGCTCGTGGTTGGCGGATTGCAGCAACGTCTCACAACCCGTGGGATCTCGCGTTTGGTCCTCGTTGTTTCCCACCAATTCTTCTTTCCTCTCCTTCCCTTTACCCCTCTCGCGCTGATTTGCTTTGATTTGCGTTGCACCCCGCGCACAGTCGGCCCTTCCCTTCCTTCCCTTCTCTTCCCCTTGGCTCTTGCAGCTGCAGATCCGTGCCAAATCACCGGCAGTGCTCGCGTCGACTCTGGTATCAAGCGAAGTGAGGAAACATTGCACCAGCCTTGCCTGGGAGCCTTCGTTCTTGCACCGACAGCGCAGTGGATGACGTGTGTGGGTGGTGCAGTCGGGTGCATGTGATCGCGAAAGACACGTTAGAATTTGGACCCATGGAACGTTGACTATCATCTCGGATCTTACCGAGCTTGGGACCCTTTTTTGTACGGGTGGAACTACGGTGGACTTTTAGCGACTTCCCTGCAACAACGCGATCTAATATAGCTTAACGCCACTAAGTGGAGTAATTTCACACCTCGCTTATTAATTTAATTGCCCGTACAATTACATGTAATAACCGTCGTTATTTGCTTATGTGTGTATAATATTACCGTCCCGTTATTACTTAGTTACCGGTCCTAACATATTACGGGTTTCGGTTACCTATATCTTACTTTAATGCTACTATTATATATATGCTTCTACTAGTAACTTATTATACGCGTAAGAGTAATATTTATATACTATAAGACTCTTCCCTCTACCCTTCTACCGTCTCCTCTAGTCCTCCTAATAACTACTATATTTAATACTCTAATTAGTACTCTTACTACCTATCCTCCCCTYTTTKCTCTATTCTACCTCTCCGTATAATAACCGAGAAGGAAGTTCGCCGCTTCGGTATAGGCGACGTCGACCTATTAGATATATACTACTCGTCGGACGATAATAGTAATCTATGCCTTATAGTTAACGACGGTAATATAAGTAAAGATAATCGCCTTGCCTAGACGAGACTAACTAGTATAATCTAGCTTAAGACTAGTAGCCTCTATATTACTAAGGAATAGGCGGAGATAATCGATACGGAGAGTAGCTACGCCCCGAAAATTAAGAAGACCTAGGACCCGGCGAAGTAGATAATACTTAGAGACCGTAAGAATACTATAGACTCGATAATTATCTAGAGCCGGTTAGTACAATTACTTCTAATTAAGATCCGAGCATCCTTACTAATAGATTCGTAGCGGTAATATTATTAACTAGAAATATACCGCCTACTAAGGCCGGCCGATCCTAAATAAGAACGAGCGAAAAGAGGGTAGAGGCCCTTAGAAGGTACTCTTTCTCCGCCTTCCTCCTATATAAAGATGTCTAAAGCTAATAATAGTAGGAATATATAAAATAGGAGTATATAATAGAGGGTGCCTATAGAAATTACATCTAGAATAGTAAGAAGAACTTATACTCCGTAAATACCTTAAACGACCGCATCCTTAAGTATAAATAGAGCGAGAATGCTAGTAATAACTCTAATATAGTAGGTAATGCGGTAGATCCTTAGTATAAGGGCATAAGATTCCCCCGTAAGGTAAGTGCGAAGGAGGCGAGCCGTAGTAAGGGAAAAGGTAAATAGTAGAGGCTATCTCCTTCTCTAGGTAGTATAATAGTACTAAAGTAGTTTCGGAGATAGGTATAGAGCTAGCTCTAGAGCTTATTATTTCTTTCTCTCTCCCCTTTTCCTTTTATAAGATATTCTATTTCCTTTATAGAACTAAATTAATAATCGGAGTATATACCCTTTCTCTAGTACTATTATACGGCTACTATTTATAGAGAGAAGGGTTTTATCTCGGTAGAATGTAGGTGTCCCTTTTTATATACTTTATATTTACTTTGCTTATTTTCGAAAATAAGACTATATCGCTATTCCGCCTCTCGTATTCCTCGAGTATACTATTATTCCCTTTTACTATTATACGTATACTCCGTAAGGAGAAAGCACAAGATATTTGTAAAATAGCTAAGTCCCCGTTTTATTTACTTTATATATTCTCTCCTAAGTAATAATACCTGCCGGGGAGCGAGCACGTGTATTACGTATTACTTACTTCCGACCGGTATAAGTAGTATTAGGTGCTATTATATATATACTAGATAGAGCTTTATAGTAGTAACTACAAAATAGCACTCTCTTTTAAATTCCTTTTCCTTATACCTTTACTAATATTCTACGGCATTAAATATAGTAATTAACATCCTTTTACTATATTAATACCTCTTCCCTCCTCTACCCCTTCCTATATAAAGCGCGACTACTACGATAGCGACTATACCGTTCCGGCTATACTTACTTAACCTTAGTGTCGATAAAGTAGGAAGGCGTAGAGTCGACTACCGTAGAACTATAGTAAGAGTTAAAACGCTAGATAATATCTTTAGGACATTTAGACTAACTAGTATAAAATAGCTCTAAGATGCTAGCCTTCTCTTTACTCTACTCCTCTAAGACGAGATAGACGATAAGGCTAGCTACCGGTTTTCGATAAAGGATCCTACGTAGGACCTAGCTAAGCGTATTAAGTATTATTAGTTACACATAACCTCTCTACTTATCTAGAGCCGGTTAGTACAATTATTTCTAGTTAAGGTCTAAGCATCCTTACTAATAGATTCGTAGCGGTAGCGTTATAAGTACTAGCGCACACCCTACTACTAGCGGGCTATACACCCGGTGCCTAGCGGGTAAGGGCCCGTTCTAGGTACGAGACCTCTATTATTCTCCCGTATAAAGATGCTATATACTAATAGAGGCAGCACTATATAATCTAGCGTAAGCACTTCTATAATTATTACGGAAATTACAAGTTTTAAGATTAGGCGACCGAATGTAGTTATAATATCTAGAACGAGCATTTAGACTCGTCGATAGAGGAGGAGGTAGAGCAGCTACTAAGTATAATCCTTAGTAAGACTAGAACGAGAAGCATATCGGCGCTAGCGCGTACGGCTAGGATAGTAGAGTATTATATTAAGCCCGAGGTAGAGCCTAAGAAGAGGGTGCGGAAGAGTACTAGAGGAGGTAGAAAGTAGAGACTACCTTCTCCGGCGGGCTATATAATAGTATCTTAGTAGCGGTTAAGGTTTATAGAGCGTAATTCGAGAGAAATGTAATTTTAATTTAGCTCCTTGTTCCTCCTTCTAAGATCGGCATTTTCTAATTATTAATCTAAAATATATATCTAGGTGTTAAATCCTTGCTTCGTTTTTATAACGCAGGGTATATTCTAAGGTACTGTCTGTTCTCTCGAAGTAAAGGTAAAGGTTTTAATAGTATATATAAATACAATAAATTAAGTTAAGCACGAGGCTCCTATCTACTACTAACTACTGCTCTTTATATACCTGTCTCTAAGCCTGTGCTAAGCCGAGTAGTCTAATTACACTAATTAGTCTAATCGCTCTTGCTCTACGTAATCTCTTAATCTCCGAAGAGAGCACTAAGGCTTGTCTTCGTTACGTAATAGAGTACTCTTATTCCTAGAGCTTTCCCTGCTCTCTCGCTAAATAAATAGCTATTAGTTCTCTACGAATTAATCCGTAATACTATCCCCCTTCTAGTCTAGCTTCGCCCCGAAGCTTATATAGTCTAGGGTTTATCCTACCTTATTCTTATAGTTAACGATGTCTCCTCTAATATCTTCTATCCGTACTAAAGCGAAGTCTACTCTTCGCCGCGAAAAGCTCGCCGACGACCTCGAGGACAATAGTATTAAAATGGCCCCCTATACTAATTATTAAAACGCGAAAGACCTTCCCGACGGGAGCCGGCCTTCCTATCGTATTAGCCCTCGCTCTTCTAAGTGTTCCGAGTGTGTCCGTTATAATAAAAAACATTGCGACGTTATACTAGCCTTTGCCTAATAGGAGAAACTTCGCGCCTTAAGGGAGAAGCTTCGCCGAGACATTAAGTCGTTAGAGGAAGAGGAGGTAGAAATCTTATAGCGCCTTACTAAGAAGCGCATAAAGAAGATTCGTCTCCGAAAACAACTACGTCTAGCCGAGCGTCGTATTAACGACGTAACTAGGAAAGTCCTCGACGACTTAGAATCCGAGGATCCCGTTGCCGACCTTCCTATTAATGTTCCCGATAGGGTTCCCGCGTCGGAATATCTATATCTCTTTTATAACATCGTAGAGATGTCGCCTTCTAGCTAGGGTACTCTTACGGGCGTCGCCCTAGACGATCCGTTCGAGGGTCTCTTTTCTCTAGGCTTGTTACATTAAGAGGCTACGATATAATAGCGTTCCTAGTCTAGGATCCGCTTAGGCGGATTTCGAGAGGAAGCTCTCGCATTCCTAGTATGTCTCCTTACGCGATATAAAACTAAATTCCTCGCGCCTAACTTTGTTCCTGTCCTTATAGTTACTAGTAATGTGTCCTTAGTTACTACATGTATAATAAGTAGGGTTCTATCCCGCCTTCTTATATCGACTACCTCGCTCTGTTATATCGAGCTCTATCGGTCTTAGTCTATAGGGATCGTCGCCTCTAGCCTTAAAGTTCCCTTTTCCGCCTTTTACGGGTCTCTAAAATCTAGGCTATACGAATCGGTCGTACCGTAGCTCCTAGAGTCTCTCGTCGATTTCCTTTGCTAACTTAATTATTGCTCTAAGCGTAGTTAGGCTAAGTTTCGGAATAGTTCTAATTTAACTATGTCCTTAAGTCCGAGGTAGAACTAGGAACGAAGAGCCGTATCGTTCTACTCGAGATCGGTAGCATATCCTTAGAACTCTAAGGCGTATACGGCTATAGAGGTAACTTGTCGGAGTTAGCGGATATAGCGATCGGCGTATACTTCTTCGTTTAGTATCCCGTATAGATTATTAAGTTTCGTTTTAAATTCCTCGTAGTCGTAGAAGATC